GGAAATTGAAGGAAACTAATGTCATAACCATTTGAGATAACCAAGCAAATAGCATTAAAGAAATTTCATATTTGTTATTTCCAAAGCCCTTCTATATTGTTTTTTAGTTGTATTTAAGTGTACAGATAATAAAAGCATAAAGGGGAGAAGGCATGATTTTATTTACCTGAGACGTTTGGGTTCCCTTTGCGGAATTTACCACGCTTTGGTGAGGTTACTGTCGCTGATGAACGACAGTTTGCATGTTGGTTTAGCTACTGTAATCCAAGGCATAAAAGGGTCGGTTTCCATTAATTTATTTGCGAGCTTAAGAGATAAAAAAAACAGAAAATAAAATCAAATAAAAAATGAACATTCAAGTAGAGATGTTTTAGCGTTTTACCTTGTTTATTCGAGTTCTTTGGAGATCTTAAAACCATCGGAGTAGTTCGCGTCGCCAGAAATAGGTCGATTCATCTTGTCGTTTGGAACCTCGCCTGTAGTATATTTGGGTTAGCTCTCATCGGTTGAGATTTTAAAATAAAAATGAAATAGAAATGAGATCTATTTACCTTATGATGTTTGGAGTTTCATTGGAGTAGAGAAGAAGCGTCGATCGAAGTGGAAGAGATGAGCGGTTGAGAAGTATAAAGTCACCGAAGATGGAAGTTCCCATGCTTTGAGAGTCGTTCATAGAGTTTAGAGTTTGATTTAATAGGTTTTAGTTTCGGATTTTTTGATCTAGAAGGGAGAATAAGGTTTTTAAGTCAATTAGGTTGGTTATTTGGACCTTTCGGTCGTGCTAGGGGGAGATCAGAGTAAAAATGGCCATCGATTTACGGTGGCCAGCTTTGGTTCTGATGGGTTTTGAAGGTGGCTGTCGAGGAGAGTGTGAGAAAGTGAAGAGATGAAGAAGAGAAAAAGAGAAGAAGAGTTGAGAGGAACAGCGCAGAGGATACTAAGTGAGGCTAGGGTTTAATTTTACCCCATATATTCTATTTATTAGCCTGATGAAACAGCAGCATTTTGGGAGTGGTCAGATCGCGCGGGTTTGTTACTACAGGAACCATGCCCATATTTGCTTCAATTCATTTTAATCCCCAAATCGAGGCTTCTTGATTTCTAATTTTGACTATGTATGTTACGCGCTTTATATTTTAGTCCTAAAATCAAGGTGCTTTAAATTTTATTTTGTCATCAGGTTTTATGTATGTTGTATTTTAATCCTCATTTTTAATTCCTTGCATTTTTGTTACTTTCTACATTTGACTTGCATTTTCATTAGTTCTCAATTTAGTCCTATAGTAGGCTTATTTCATTTATTTAATATCTTGCATTCTGGTTTGCTTGTCTTTGTTATTTCCTGTTTTCGTCCTTGATAACAGAAAATATATATATGCATGTGTGAGTGTGATATGAACTACTAGTGACGTGTTTTGTTTCACTCAATTATAGTTATTAATATATTTGAAACGTTTATTTCATCTAAGGTATTATATGGTGTTTGTGTAGCCGTATATCTGCGTGTATTTAAATATTAAATAGAACTTGATTTTTTTTTCTTTTTGTATCAATATTTCATGCATATACTAGGCATAATACGATAGACATTCTTCTTTCAAGTTGTTACATGAAAAAGCATTGTAGATATTTATTACATATTTTAATGCCTGCAAAATACATAAATTTAACCATTTTAAAATATTGGGAATCCACTAGCATGTTTATAAAGTATATATATATATATATTCGTATTTACAGGTGCATGTATTATTGTTGTATTATTTTTAGGTTCAAACATTTATTTGAGTATATGACAATTTTTACATGAATAGTATGTTACCCTCACAAGCATTACTTGACTCAAATCGAAATAAATTGACTAAGGATAATATTCGATCATTTTAAAATTATAAAAGGAAAATTTATAATACGTGAATATTTAATTCATTTTAATATATAGCATTAAGTATTAATACTAGAACTTACATTTTAAATTTGAGCTCCTAGGATCTTTAATTTTCATAATTTGACACTTTAAGTTAGGAAATGCCTTAATTTACTTTTAGTTTAATTAAGACAAATAAAATTTTGTTTGATTGCATTGTTTTTACAAATCTAAGGTACTGTTCACTTATTAAGGAATTAATAGTATATCTCTCGCGATTGTGCTCAGGGGGTGACTACTAGTAATTCCTTGAATAAGTCAACATCCTTTTCAAAACCACATCATGTTTTCTAAAAAAAGAGGCAATATTCGGTTCTTAGGCACAATAGCTGATCTCCCGCATTTACGCTCGGGGGCAAATGCTATCGGTCTCGATAAACGAATACCCTTTTCAACTTTGCATCCTTAATGATTTTTAAATTAAATAAATATCGAACTCCAAATTTCTGATTTTAAATATGGAGTAATCAACTGGGTACCAATTTTTGGGCGCTTGTGGGGGTGCTAATCATTCCCTATGCGTAACCGACTCCCGAACCTGATTTCTGGATTTTCATAGACCTTCAAACCCGGTATTTTGATAAAAACAAAAATGTTTTATTAAAAGCATCCGATTTTTGTGGTGTTCCAATCTCGCCTTAAATGATTGGTGGCGACTCCTCACCTTTCGTAATGATTTTCAAAGAGAAACCTCGAGTCGGTATCGATCTTTTTTCCTCCGGGTAAAAACGGTTACGACACCTGATCGACCTGTCTTGTTACTACCCCTACACCCAACCCACTTCAACGATAAAAAATGGCAAGATCCATAGTGTGATATATATTTGCAATGAAATGTAATCCTCTAAATGTCTTTATATATATATATATATATATATATATATATATATATTAATTAAGATTATATATGTTCAAAGATAACTCTCAACCTCTAAACATTAAACGCTTACACCCTTTACCACAAAAGTCGCTTGGTTCGTGCTCTAAATGTCTTTATATTTAGAATATAATTAAATCAAATACTACTATATTTAGATTGCTATTAATATTTTTATTTATAACTAGTATTCAATTTTTTATAATTTTTATTATTTAATTCATTAATCAATTATTTTTTAAATAATGTTTAAAATATATAAAAAAAATTATTAAAAAAATCTGAAAAACGTTTATAAACTAAATGTTAATTAAATTTCTCATACATTATCATTTTTCATGTCCACTATCACATCATCATTTTTTTTCTAATTCATTTATCATGTCCCATATTACTTCATTACTTAAGGGGCCATTAAGGATATTGATAGAATTTTACTTGATTATAATTCTTAATTTAAAAGGTAATTAAGTGTTGTTTCGTATATCGAGTACTTAATTCTTTCGTTATTTTCGATGGGGTTTAACTATTTAAGCTTATAATTTTGTGTGTCATTATATGGTATATTACGAATTTAGAAAATAGAGGGAGGAAGAGCAATTATTATTTTGTTAAATACAAAACTTCGAAAGATGAATCATCATGAAATTTTGAGAAATATTTTCCGTAAAGGCAATGCAGCCGAATAGCGGCGAAAGTAAAGCTAAAAATAACGCAATGGTCCCATATCCCATGCATTTCTGAAAAAAAACTATATTTTTTATTTAATTATTTTCCTTTTGGGATACGAAAATTGAAGTTTCCAGTAAGCCCTATAATCCTACTACTCTTTCTTTGTTAATGTGATAATAGATCAAATGATTTAATCAAGTGACTTATAATTATGAATAGAATAAAATTATAGAAATAAAAATTAGTGAAGTTAAATTAAAATAATAAAATTGTGTAATATTTGGTTTTAATCATTATATATAAATATATCATAATACAAAGAGTATAGGAGTTAGGTGCCAAAAAGACCTCAATATTGAGTCATAACAACTATGGGTAGTTTGTTCTAGGAACTTCTCACCCAAATAATTAAAGGAAATAAAAGGAGTAATTAAAGTTATAGGCAATACATAACACATGCTATTTTCATAATTAAACTATATATTAATCAACGCTGATATCACTCTTATAAAAGAGGACTCAATTGACCTCTAAAAAATTAGAAAATATCTTTATGAATTTTATATCAAAATATTAAAATAAAATTAATATTAATATTAATATTAATACTATGTTAAAAATAATTTAAAAAAATGACCAACACTTATAATTTGAATATGTTTTTTTATAAAAAAAATTATATATATTTTTTTAAATTTTAACCAAGTATGCTTCGTCCAGAGGCCATTTTCCCCTATTTTTTTATTAAAAATATATAATTAAATATTAAACAATTACTCTGAATTTTAGTTTATTTTGATTCTATCCCCTCATTTTTATGGTTACTTATACTTTGTCATACTTATTTTTTATGGTTAATTATATATTCTACTTTAGTTAAAATTCTGACTTTGTCTCTGATTCTAACTTTGGGATTTAATTTTTTTAAACCCGCATTTAATATTAATTATTAATAAAAAAATATGGATTATAAAATCTTTAGCGGTTTCCCAAAATGAATACCCTAACCAACCATTAAGCACTCTTCCATAAATTAAAGCCCCAAGAAACCTCTAACATATAATTACTACTACTTTTTACCTTCTTAAGCAATCCTTAGTTTCCCCATACACTATTCTTCTCCTACCATAAATGCCAATGAGAAAAAAAAAGATCTTTATTTGATTTTCAAATAATAAAATAAACCCAAAGTTTAATACGAAAATCAGTAATATTTTCTAGTATATAAAAAAAGAAAAGAAAATTTATTTATTTATTTTAAAAGCTAAGGGTGTCTGATTCTATACAAGTTAAAGATTCATGCTTGGGAATCATTTAATTGTGTATGACTATTTTGTATTATTTTCCAAAGAAAAAAAAAAAGCTGACCAAAGAGAATAGGAAGCTTGCTTCAAGTTGAAACAATGGATGCCCACAAAAGCTTAAGATCACTTGTTGAAGCAACCAGGACCGAATAACCTATTTGTATGCCCTCTGCATTTCCCCAAGTTGATAATACCACAGAGAGTTCAATCTTTTTAAGAGAAATATTTCTTTTTTTTCCTATTGTCAATGGAGGATTGGGTGGTGGAAAGCCTCTGCAATGGCCATAGAGAATCGCAGATTCAAGCGGCGTCTCAACTCAGTAAACTGAGTAGCAAACAAAGGCATAGATTGGCTGACACTGGGATTATTCCACCGTTGATTTCAATGCTTCAATCACAAGATTTTGAAGCCATTGAAGCTTCTTTGTTAGCCCTTCTTGGCCTTGCATTTGGCAGTGAAAGGTGTGTCGTTTTTCCTCCATTTTCTTTTGCTTGCAGAATCCAATGAATTTCTCAGTTATTTGGTCAAACTATGTAGGACCCTGTATTATGCATTGATATGTGTTTAGTCCCTCCACTACAGTTTGATCCTTTCTTATAATGTGGATTTTCAATTTTTTATTTTAAATCTATCTAAGACATAAAAAAAGAGAAAGTATAATATTTTTAGGTTAAACTACATATTTAGTATCTTAACTATCACTTTTGTTTCGTTTTAGTCACCAAACTACTTTTGTTTCAAAATCAAACCTTACGTTATGTTTTGGTTTCATTTTGATCTCCCGCCTTTAAAATAACTAACATTGATGTTGATGTATCACTATAAGGTAATACTATGTCACCATTGAAAAAAGTTAAAAAAATATTACATCAATAGTTCTATTAATTTTTTAACTACGAGTGACCAAAACAAAACATTAGGTATAGTTTAAAGAAAATAATAGTTGAGTGACCAATACAAAATAAAAATGATAGTTTTGGTATTAAACATGTAGTTTACCCATATTTTTAACTTATACAATAACGTAAAGGTGTATGTGTCACGTAATCACATGCTTTAAAAAAACAAGTGAAGTCAAATTACTTGAGAGAATTAATGGGAAAAGGTTAGGCTCATGACTAAAAAATACACATTTCAAAAAGGGACTAAATATGTAAAAATGCGTAGTACAGGGAATTTCTAAAGAATTTGACCAATTCTTCTTTAGACAAATTTCTCATTCTTTTTTTTTTTTTTGTAATATCAGAAACAAAATCCGGATTGTAAAATCTCGGATTATACCAGTGTTGTTAGAGCTTCTTCAATGTGAAAGTGAAGAACTCGTTGAGCTTTCAATGGCAGCAATGTTGATATTATCTTCTTGTAAACAAAACAAGTTGGTAATTGCTTCATCAGGGGCCATCCAATTACTGGTACAAATCCTGAACGATGTTAATAATACTCTCTTCAGTATTCAAGCAAGGGTAGACGCCATTGCAACACTCCAGAATCTCTCAACTTGTCATCAAATAATCCCATTGATTGCATCTTCCGGTGCAATCTATACCTTGCTTCAACTCATCCACGGTTACGAGAAATCATCGGACTTGACTGAAAAGGCGATTTCATTACTTGAAAGCATCGTCTTTTCATCGGAGGATGCGGTTTCTGAGACGACCACAATTGCCGGTGCGATACGGATCATAGTTGAGGCGATGGAAGAAGGTTCGCCGCAGTGCAAAGAACATGCTGTTGGGATCCTTCTTCATATATGCCAAAGCTGTAGGGATAGATACAGAGGGTTGATATTAATGGAAGGTGTAATGCCTGGACTGCTTCAACTCAGTGTTGATGGAACTTGGGGAGCCAAGAACATGGCTAGGGATCTGTTGTTTCTTCTCAGAGATTGCACAGATTACGCTTCAACGAGTAAACAGTCGAGACACGAACTTATGGAGCAGATTATGCAGGCAATCGATGTTGATGGAGAGAAGGTTGATGGAACTACACTCAGACTGGTTCAAGAGATGATAAACAAGCTTAATTTATAAATATTTGTTGTTATTATTTATTTTGTTTTAGGATGATTTCAGTTTAGCCTTTAGAATTATAGGCTTACTCAGGGCAATTGAAATGAAATATCTGTAAATAATATTGGTATAGGCCATTGAAAGCTGTTTCCTTTTGCATTACTTGATGATTATCTAACATTAACAAATTTTCCAATGGCAAGAATTGGCATAAATTAGCACTAAAACTGAAAACTGAGCCTTCTAGTAAATCCGGGGCTCGGCTCTGCTCGGATGGGCTTGTGCAACTCGTTTTAAGAGATGGCATCTAGGCAATTCTGGATTCAAATCGCAATATCCGCAACCCCTTTCGTTATTCTAGTTGAACATATTGATTTGATGCAAAGATAATGAGAGAATAATTTCATAACCAATCATTATCCAACTACAGGATTCATACATTAGTTGAACGTTAACAATAAGAAAACTACGCATCAAGACTGTTCTAGCAAGTTTTCGAGATATAAGTTTAAGGTGTATCTCCCTGTCGACAGAACATCGAGCCGCTTCTCGCTTGGTTCATGCTTTCCTTTACGAAGCTGGTACCGGTGTGTTACGGCTGAGATCATATATGTTTGGCCTTCGATTGTCACGCACTCCCCGCACTGCAAATTCTGATGCAGTGGAAACAATTAATCGTCAGAACTGTAGAAAAATATAAATGAATTGATTGAATCATGACTATTCATGAAAAATAATTAAGTATTTTCATGAAAATACTTAATTATTTCATTTCACTCTAAAGGTCATGTCTTTCCATGATAACCTTTTGATTAAAAGGTTATGATTTTTAATCAAATGGTTAAGTCATTTCATTTAAAGGTCTTAACCTTTCAATAAAGGTCTTAACCTTTCAATCATCTCCCTGTATAAAGGCTAAGTTGTGATACATTTCACCACACAACTTTTACTATTTTCTTTTAAGTACTTTCCTTTCAATTCTCCGATTCTTCAAAAGTCATTTTCCGGTGATAGATAAAGATAAAAATTGTGTTCGATTTTTTACTACGGTTGTTCTTACTGTTGTGAACATTTTTTGTTATATCTTGGGAGACCGACGTCCAACGTTACTCAAAGCACCGGGGACATGACGAATATGTCTTAAGGAAACTGTTCATTCAGGCCTCAACAAAACTTTTCTTCTACATATTCAATTTCATCCGATTACAGGTTCTATTTTAATTTCACATTTTTTAACTTTATTATTGAAACGAATTTTTTTAAGATTGTAATACTACAACACTATTTTTCAATATTTTGCAACAATTTTAAGACAGATTCCTTGTGTTGTAGTTCAATCTAAACTCATACATATTATTGTGGTAATATATTTAGGTAAATATATATTTCGTTTCATATTATATTTATTATTTCGGTTTTGATTCTGATTACAGAAAAATGTCTGATACTTCATCCAATTCACAATCTAATGTGATTGTCGCTACACAGACTCAGGCTGCGAGCCAAACGTTACCTATGACCATGAGTCATAATGAAAAGCCTGCGAAATTCAATGGAGAGAATTTCAAAACATGGCAACAAAAAATGTTGTTTTATTTGACGACATTGAATCTGGCCAAATTTTTGAAGGATGATCCTCCTACTATTAGAGAGGATGAAGTGGATGCTGCAACCGCGTTCAACATTACCGAAGCATGGAAGCACTCTGATTTCCTAGGCTGTAACTACATCTTGAATGGTTTATCTGATGCATTTTATGAAGTATACAGCGTAAAGAAAACGACTAAGGAACTATGGGAATCATTGGACCATAAATACAAAACTGAAGATGTTGGTGCTAAGAAATTCTTCGTTGCCAAATTTTTAAACTTTGTAATGGTTTATTCTAAAACTGTTGTGAATCAGGTGCAAGAATTCCAACTGATCATTCATGGTATTCTCGCAGAAGGGATGATTATAAGTGAATCCTTTCAGGTGGCATCCATTATTGAAAAACTTCCGCCTGCTTGGAATGACTTTAAGAATTATCTTAAGCATAAGAGAAAAGAAATGACAGTGAAGATCTGATTGTGAGACTTCGATGTGCGGCTAAAAGGCTAAACAAAACAGTCAATCATAACATTGTCAAGGCAAATGTGGTGGAAGTCAAAAAAGGACTTCAAGAAAAGAAAGCAAGCTCAAATTGAGTCTAAACTAGGACCAAAAGGCGATGTTTCTAAGAAGCAAAAATTCCAAGGGAAATGCTTTAATTGCAATAAGACGGGACACATGTCATCCGAATGTAGGCTTCCAAAAAGGTCTAGAACAAAAGAGGCTAATGTTGTGACAGAAATTTCTAAGTATCTGAACTTGACCTATGTGTTGTGGTCTCTGAAGTTAACATGGTTGATTCAAATCCAAGATAATGGTGCTTGATACTGGTGCCACACGCCATATTTGTTGTGACAAGGACTCCTTTGCAGAGTTGGTTTCTTGTGAGAAAGGAGAAAAACTCTATATGGGCAATGCTGCAACTTCCAAGATCAAGGGGAAAGGCACTGTAATTTTAAAGATGACTTCTGGCAAAGAGTTGAAATTTCAAAACGTGTTGTATGTGCCTGACATACGAAAGAAACTTGTCTCTGGGACCCTCCTAAGTATACATGGCTTTAGGATGGTGTTTGAATCCCAGAAGTTAGTTTTATCAAAAGGGGGAATATTTGTGGGAAGGGGATATGTATTGAACAATATGTGGAAACTTAATGCTATCTCTGTAAAAGCTAAAAATATAAATAAGAATGATTCTTCTTCTTCTGTTTATATGATTGAGTCATTAAATTTATGACATGGTAGACTCGGACATGTTAATTATGATACTTTACGTAGATTAATTAACTTAGAACATATTCCTCCATTTCACGTTAATTATAATCATAAATGTGAAACATGTGTTGAAGCTAAACTAACAAGGTCTTCATTTAAATCCGTTGAAAGAAATACAAAAACCTCTTTATCTAATACACAGTGATGTTTATGACTTAAAATTTGTTCAAACTATAGGAGGGAATAAATATTTTATTACCTTCATTGATGATAGCACAAAATATTGCTATGTATATTTTCTTAAAAGCAAAGATGAAGCTATAGAAAAATTTATTCTCTATAAGCAAGAAGTTGAAACCCAACTTAACAAAAGGATTAAGAGGGTGAGAAGTGATCGTGGTGGTGAATACGTTAAACCATTTGGTCAATATTGAGCACAACATTGTATTATTCATGATGACTCTCCTCAATCGAATGGAGTAGCAGAGCAGAAAAATCGAACATTAAAGGAAATGATGAATGCTATGCTAGGAAGTTCTGGGTTGTCACAGAACATGTGGGGGGAAGCTGTCTTATCATCAAATTACCTTTTAAATAAGGTGTCTCGCAAGAAAAAAAGACAAGACACCATATGAGTTGTGGACAGGCAAGAAACCCTCCTATAATTACTTGAAAGTGTGGGGGTGTCTTGCAAAGGTAATGACTCCTTTATCAAAGCAAATGAAAATAAGTCCTAAAACAGTGGATTGTATTTTTATTGGCTATGCTCACCACAACAATGCATATCGATTTCTTGTGCATGAATCAAAGAATCCAGAAATTCACAAGAATACGATATTAGAATCTAAAAATGCCTCATTCTTTGAAAATATATTTCCTTGTAAAATTAGAGAAGTTGGCTCAAGTTCAAGGAAACGAACTTTAGAAACTATTAATGAAAATAATCAAGACTTCCAACAAGAGGTTGAAGTCGAGATAGAGCCAATAAGAAGTAAAAGGGCACGAGTAGAAAAATCCTTTGTATCAAATTTTCTAACCTATATCCTAGAGACTGAACCTGTAACTTATAGCGAAGCTATACATTCATCTTAAAGTAATTTTTGGAAATATGCCATCAAAAGTGAAATTGATTCCATCATGCAAAATCATACGTGGGAATTAGTGGATATTTCTCATGGAATTAAACCATTAAATTCTAAATGAATTTTCAAATGAAAAATGAAAGCAGATGGAACAATTGATAATTACAAGGCCAAATTGGTTATTAAAGGGTACTGACAAAAGGAAGGTCTTGATTACTTTGATACATATTCACTCATATCAAGAATAACTTCTATAAGAATGATACTTGCAATAGCCGCTTTACGGAATTTAGAAGTACATCAAATGAATGTTAAGACAACTTTTCTTAATGGAGACCTTGATGAGGAAATTTACATGGAACAACCTGAGGGTTATGTAGCTCCAGGACAAGAAAAGAAAGTATGTAAGTTGGTAAAGTCATTATATGGACTTAAGCAAGCACCAAAGCAATGGCATGAAAATTTTGATAGTGTTATGATATCAAATGGATTTAAAATAAATGAGTGTGACAAATGTGTGTATGTCAAAATCACTGTTGATGGATATGTAATCCTATGCCTCTATGTTGACGACATTCTCATTATTGGAAGTAACAATGAAATGATAAAACGTACCAAAAATATGTCAAATTCAAAATTTGACATGAAAGACATGGGACTTGCTGACATGATTTTGGGCATCCAAATCAAAAGGTCATCTGAAGGTCTCATATTGACTCAGTCACACCATGTAGACAAGATTCTTGAAAATTTTGGCAAGGATGATTCTGGTGTAGCCAAAACTCCGATAGATACAAGTCAACATCTATCTAAAAATAAAGGTGAAAGTGTTAATCAAGTGGAATATGCAAGGATCATAGGCAGTCTAATGTACCTTATGAGTTGCACTAGACCTGATATTGCTTTCACTGTAAGCAGTTTAAGCAGATTTACAAGCAATCCAGGGGAGAAACACTGGAAATGAATTGTAAGGGTATTGAGATATCTCAGATATACTCGAAACTATGGATTGCATTATTCTAGAGATCTTGCTGTGTCAGAAGGATTCTCTGATGCCAGTTGGATATATGATATTCAAGATACCAAAGGCACAAGTGGTTATATTTTCATATTGGGAGGAGGAGTTGTGTCATGGAAATCCTCAAGACAAACAATTATAACCAGATCCACGATGGAATCTGAGTTTGTAGCCTTGGACAAAACTGGAGAAGAGGCAGAATGATTACAAAATTTTTTGGAGGATATTCCTGAATGGCCAAAGCATGTACCCAAAATATGTATATATTGTGATAACCAAGCAACAATTGGTAGAGCACAAAATGTAATGTATAATGGTAAGTCGAGACACATGCGACGTCGACACAATACCATTAGACAACTGGTCTCAACTGGAGTTATTTCTATTGATTTTTTAAGATCAAAAGATAACATTGTGGATCTGCTAACCAAAGGGTTGAATCGAGATCAAGCTGATAAAACATCAAGAGGAATGAGACTAAAGCCCATGAATTGTTAAGGCTCTATGTGAAGAAAACCCAACCTAGTTGACTGGAGATCCCAAGATCTAGGTTCAATGGGACAACCTACTTGCATAAACCTGGTGAGGTCACTGTGGGGGTTTTATCCCCAAGCCCATTCCTATGATTAAAACAGTGACTAAAATGTGGATAAGGTTAAGCAATGCTTTTAATGACCAATATTTGTTTCGTTGAACCGAACAACATAAGTCACCTATGTGAGAGTGAAGTGGAGTCGCTTCAAAGAGACTATTAGGGCATAGTTCTCTAAGCTCTTATAGAACCAGGAGATGACCACGTCTAAATGAACATAACCATGAGAACCAAACTCTTGTCAGTAAGATATTTGTGTGAGGTATGTCATCGCTTACACAAACGGTAAGACAGTTCAAGGACATCACGTCTACTGGACAGCCAGTAAGGTAAACATATTTTCACAAGGGAAGGTTCAAAGGGGGACGCCTACCTATCCTATGCAAATATCGAACGTAGAATCTATCACTACATCGAGTCAATGTTTTAAACAATCAAATTCATTCATGTGGGGGATTATAGAAAAAATATAAATGAATTGATTGAATCATGACTATTCATGAAAAATAATTAAGTCTTTTCATGAAAATAGTTATTTCATTTCACTCTAAAGGTCATGTCTTTCCATGATAACCTTTTGATTAAAAGGTTATGATTTTTAATCAAATGATTAAGTCATTTCATTTAAAGGTCTTAACCTTTCAATAAAGGTCTTAACCTTTCAATCCTCTCCCTATATAAAGGCTAAGTTGTGACACATTTAAACACACAACTTTTACTATTTTCTTTTAAGTACTTTCCTTTCAATTCTCCAATTCTTCAAAAGTCATTTTCCGGTGATAGATAAAGACAAAGATTGTGTTCGATTGTTCACTATGGTTGTGCTTACTGTTGTGAACGTTTGTTGTTGTATCTTGGGAGACCGGCGTCCAACGTTACTCAAAGCACCGAGGAGAGGACGAATCTGTCTTAAGGAAACTGTTCATTCAGGCCTCAACAAAACTCTTCTTCTACACATTCAATTTCATCCGATTACAAGTTCTATTTTAATTTCACATTTTTTTTAACTTTATTATTGAAACGAAATTTTTTTTAGATTATAATACTACAACACTATTTTTCAATATTTTGCAACAAGAACTAACAGAGATGGAACATAAATACCCATACAGTGATTTGATGATATAAAGGATTTTTGAGTTTGAGTTTCACAACTGTATCGGACCTATCGGTCCCCATTGAAACACATAATGAATCGCCATTGGCATTTACAAACTCATTAAACTCGAACATCAGTACAAGAGAGATCGATAGTCCATCCTAATATATGGTATGTGTCAGACATAAACCCCTGCCTGAGACTCGCACTCGTTCACTTATCCAAAAGCGATTACAAGTTCCTGATGTCTCGGTATCATCGTGCCGTTGATATCAGTACAGACCTGAATTAGGGGAAGGGAGGAAAACAACAAACGAGATCATCAAAAGCTGAAAATCTGATTACCACTACTTCAATCCGATCTCATAAACTATCCAGCATTTACATATCCCATACAGCTTTCAGACAGTCGCCATTGCATAAACTCACTAATCATTAATCAATTTCACTTGCATATACTAGAATCTCTAAAACGCTAGGAAAATATCAAATCTGTACTTTTCACCTTCGACTTCACTTTACTACATCCTGAACAACAAAGATTCGACACCAAAGTCCAAAGTGCCATCCCTCACAGGTATAGAACTATACCTTGCTTCACAGTTGAGCAAAACAAGTAAAAACTTTGCTTTCATGGGGAAACATCATTTCCATCATGTATCTTCTATTAGATATCTTACTTTAAACCCATGATCCAGAATTATCCGATCACCTTTCTCTGAGCAAGAGGCAAAACATAATCAACATTTGTCATCATATTACGTACGTACGTACGTACGTACATACATACATACGTACGTACGTACATACATACATACATACATACATACATACATACATACATACATACATACATACATACATACATACATACATACATACATACATACATACATACATACATACATACATACATACATACATACATACATACATACATACATACATACATACATACATACATACATACATACATACATACATACATACATACATACATACATACATACATACATACTCTAAGATCATGGTACGGAATTGTTCGATTGCCTTTCTCACTGTAAGAGGCAAAATGTAATCAACTTTTTCTATAACATATCTTCTTCCATTATATGTCTTACTCTAGAACTAGATCGGGAATCATTTGATTGTTTTTTCTCTAAGAAAGAGGCAAAACATAATCAACTTGAACTTAAGACAGCGAATTCAAAATCTTAGTGAGTTTTGATCGCCTTTATCCGAGTAATACGCAACATAATCCACTTGAATTCGGAAAAGCTAGTCAAATTCTTAGTGTAAGACTAAACTTGCTATCTCATGTTTGTTTTTCATAAAAAATAATAATTTAAATATGTAAAATAATCAAGAATGCCATAAAAAAAAGCTACTGCAAAACACATGATTTAAAAACCAACATTATGTTTTGAAAAGAAGCATACTTTTGTCAATTTTGTAGTCATAAATTTAACCTAAATTCAAATGCTTTACTACCTTTGTTTGTTTGTTTTTTTTTCATTTCCCCCATAAAAAATATGACGATTTTCCCCAAATATCACCTGACATGTTTTTATTTCCCTGTTAGACACCATGCAGGTTTATTTACCGATCTAACACTCTTTATAGAAAGGCGCGACCCATGCATCTCGTCTTATGCTACGTGTTGAAAGGCGCGGCCCATGCACCGTGCCTTATGTAACGTGTAAAAATTGAGTGTCAATTTTTTAAATATTTTTAAAACGATGCCTAATATGTAATTATTTTTATTAGGGTGATATTTGTGTAACAACATCAACTTTATTTATTTTTTTATGTGTGAAAAAAAACTTTCTACATTAAAATCTTTAAATATTCTTTTGCAAATTATTTTATAACTCGAATTTTTTTTTATTTTTGCATGAAATTACACAATACATATAATCTAGTGTAGGAAAACTTTGAGTGTAAGTAATTTAAAATATGAATAATTTTATAAAAATTTTATAACTAGTATTTATTTTACAAAATGATGATGAAGATAAGAAATATTTTATAATTTAAAAAATTATAAATTATATATATTTTTTTTAAAAAATTGACTTTTAAAATTAATTTTTTAAAAATATAAAAAATATTAAAATAAACTTTTAATTACAATTGGGGAGTCAAATGAATTATTATTCATTAATTATTATTTTTTAACAACAGTTAATAATGTTTATTTATTTTTAATAAAATTAGAATTTAATATTTATTTTATATTTTTTAAAATTAATATTAGAAAGAATATTTTAAATATGTAAGTGATATTTTTTAGCTTTACATTTTTTTATTGAATTTTGTTACAAGTTTAGAGAGTAGCACAAAAGAAAGGAAAATCTTTAGATTTTCATATATGTATTTATACTTTTTTTAGAAACATTTTACCATAATTTTTCTTAATTAATTTGAATAATAGTAGAATAAATTATTAATTTGAATTATAATTCATATAATTAAAATTCAATAAAAATGTAATAAAAAAAGAATTAAAAGTGAATAAAATTCAATAAAAAAGAATGTAAAATATCACATCTTTATTTAAAATATTCTTTCTAATATTAATTTTAAAAAATATAAAATAAATATTAAATTATAATTTTATTAAAAATGAATAAATATTATTAACTATTGTTAAAAAAACAATAATTAACGAATAATAATTCATTTGATCTCTCAATTGTAATTAAAAATTTATTTTTTAACAATTAATTTTAAAAGTTAATAAATTTTTCAAAAATATATGAAATTTATAATTTTTTAAATTATAAAATATTTCTTATTATCATCATCATTTTGTAAAAGAAATACTAGTTATAAAACTTTTATAAAATTATTCATATTTTAAATTATTTACCCTCAAAGTTTTTCTATACTAGATTATATGTATTGTGTAATTTCATACAAAAATCAAAATTTATCGAGTTATAAAATAATTTGAAAAAAATATTTAAAGATTTTAATATAGAAAGTTTTTTTTTCACACACAAAAAAAAATAAAGTTGATGTTGTTACACAAATATCACCCTAATAAAAAATAATTACATATTAGCATCGTTTTAAAAATATTTAAAAAATTAACACTCGATTTTTACACGTTACATGAGGCACGGTGCATGAGCCGCACCTTTCAACATGTAGCATCACATCAGCGTTAGACACGGTACATGGATCGCGTCTTTTTGTAAATAGTATTACATCGAAAATAAACCTACATATGTGTCTGACAGGAAAATAAAAACCTGTCAAGTGATATTTGGGGAAAATCGCCTAAAAAAATATAGAGATACAATTCCAAATGATTAATTTTCCGACCAAATCAATAAATAAAGAAACAAAAGAAATTAAGACAACAAAATGACAGTAAATTAGAAGACAGAAAACTTATGATTCCGAAGGAAAGAAAAAAAGTGGGACTAACGGGAGGGAAGGAACGAACGCCAAGGGACTTGGGCGGGGGTGTAATTTCGACGACTTTGTAGGGGTAACTACTGTGATTTTCTCTTCCCTTTTCTCCCCTTCTGCAAATTACATGGAATCCATGACTCTGTCACTAAAGTAATTTAATCCCAGATTTAGTTTCTATTTTAAAAAAATAAAAAACAAAAAGGAAAATATATTAAGAAAAAGAAGAAAAAACATTCACCTTTTGCAATGAAACTAAACTGGATACAGTCACCATTGCCATTTTCTTTCTGGGTTTTCCTTTCCGTTCTTTGGGTTGAAATTGAAACCTTGAAAGAACTTTTTTTTATAAAAAAAATGATGATTGAAAGAATATTTTTTATGATTATTTTATTTTTATTCTTAAATTTGTGAACAATTTTTTTCTGCTCTTTCTCTCGTATACAGTGTTTTGAAGACAAATGTATGGTATGGTGTTGAAACTTGCAGTTGGCTGTAACTAATGTGATGTTTTAGGAATCGTCTGGTGTTAATATGAAAGCCTGTTAGTTCTTTTCCACTTTACTTGGAGCAAATATATTTATATATTGGAATTTTATTACACTTGTTTGTTAGGTTTTTTTTAATTCAAATATATCCCTTAAAAATAATTTTCATTTTGACACTTATTTGATATTATCTTTTAGTTAATATTAATTTTTAAGAAATTATCTGATACTAAAATTGTTGTAAACTAACAAGTCAATATCATATTAAGTGTAATAAAAATTCAAAGATCATATTAATTTTTTAAAAAAAGTTTGAAGTATTATATATCGTTAAACTAAGAGGAAAATCATTTGATACGTTGTTAGTAAAGGAAAATTTATATTTACTGTGTAAATAGTCACCTGATTACTAACTTTTTCTCGTCTGATTATTTAATTATTAAAAATTATAAAATATCACTCAACTTATCAAATTTGTTTTTTTAGCCAATAACTAATTGAGTAATATAACATTATGTGGCACATAACGCATCATCACTATAAATAATGTGTTGTATAATTACTTTAGGTTAAGTGACGATGACATGTCATGTTACCATGGATGATATAACACATGTTACATCCGTTATTAAATAAAAATATAATTAAAATGATCATTTATATAAACATTGAAAATAATTTTATCATTATATCTTAAAAGAATATACGCTTATTACTATTTTAAACTCGTTTCTAAAAGTTTGTCATTAATACACTTAACAATATTTTTTAAAGAAATTCATAGAATTAAATACATCAAGCGATCTTAACGATAAAAAGGAGTGATGTTATGTTGGAAAACTAGATTGAGCTTCAATATTCAACAAACATTGAATTATTTCTCATTACTTTCAGTGCATCAGTTACATTGTTTATATAGCAGCTCGTAGAAGCTTAGCACAAGTCTAGAAGCTTTACAACTAACTCAACTAACTACTAACAGTTCTAACTCCCTTAACTACTTAGCTATTCTAATATTCCCTCTACTTTCTCCTTCTTTTGTTCTTCTGATCTTGAACACACTATTACAACAAGCTCTAAAAAACTAATTACAACTAATTTCTAACATTCAGCATTCTTGATGAAAATATGAACAATTGAATCGAAAGTGCTTATGCTTCCTCCCGTTCACTTGAATCGAAAATGCCGATGCTTCCTTTCGTTCTTCTTGAATCGAAAGTGCTGATGCTTCCTTCTGTTCACTTGAATCGAAAGTGCCAATGCTTCTTTCCGTTCTTCTTATTCACCTTCATTTCTTTCTTCTTCATCCTCTTATACAAGATTACTAGACATATTTGTTTTTCCCTAAAGGACTATATTATCATACTTATTACAAATTCACCCCAAGTAATTATATCAATTTTACTTTACCAAATTGAAGGGAAAAAACAGTTGATACAGTAAACCACGAACTCCTTTAGATGAAAAATAGGACCACCACCGGTTTAACACGCCTGCTATGGCTCATCAAATGATCCTGTACATCCAAAGCCCAGAGAGTAATTATATCCCTTAGCAGTTGCATTATAAGAGTGTTGTCCTTGTATGACTCTTCTCCAAGAGTATCCAGCTCTGCGATGGCTTCATCGAAAGCCTGTTTCGCAATAGTGCAAGCACGATCCGGAGAGTTCAAGATCTCATAGTAGAATACGGAAAAGTTCAAAGTCAATCCTAATCGAATAGGATGAGTTGGGGCCAGCTCAGCAGTCGCAATGTCCTGAGCAGATTTATAGGCAGTGAGCGTGTTCTCGGCAGCCGCTTTCCGGTCATCTCCAGTCTTGAACTCAACCAAGTACATATGGTAATCTCCCTTCATATTCATAAAAAATACCTTGGAATCACCGGTCCCAGCGGCCGAAACGAGCTTCTTCTTGAGGAGCTTCAAGATTCCGGCATAAATCTCGGACAATTCGGCCTCGATCTTGGCCCTGTACTCACGGATGACGGAGACGTGGTCGATGTTGCCAGGTCCTTCCTCCTTCTGCTCGATGGAGGAGATGATTCGCCAGGAGGCACGGCGAGCACCGATCACGTTCTTGTAGGCGACGGAGAGGAGATTCCTTTCCTTGACGGTTAGTTCGATGGATCCAAGCTCCTTATGGACGTTCTCTTTCACGAGGAAATCACTCTCTTCCGCAATGAAATCGAAAACCTTCTCCAAGAAACCAACGGGATTCGCTGGATCCAAACTGGTAGTAAACGACACCGGTTTAGCAGCCGTTACCGCTGTCGAAAATGTCGGTGGCATTTTCTCCTCCTCTTCCATGCAGTGGAAGAAAAATCAAAGTCAGGACCGTTTGACGAATGATACCACATTGGGAAACTAGATTGAGCTTCAATATTCAACAAACATTGAATTCTTTCTTATTACTTTCAGTGCATCAGTTACATTGTTTATATAGCATCTCGTAGAAGCTTAGCACAAGTCTAGAAGCTTTACAACTAACTACTAACAGTTCTAACTCCCTTAACTGCTTAGCTATTCTAATATGCTCTTTCGAGATATTTAATGGTTGAACAATTACGTCTACAATGTATATATATCTTAATGACTAAAAAAATTCTAAACAAATAATACGTTAAATTGATAGAAAACACAATATAAGATATTCATAAAAAAGCTGAAAATCTCAAGTTTGCTTCTATTATTAGGATAAAAATATAAAATAAAACAAATGAAAAATTAATGTTCATCATAAAGATCCTTGATGGTATTAGTTTCATTTGTAAAATTTATCATTAATACACCTAACAATAACTTTAAAGAAATACATAAAAGTTATAATTCTAACATATGCCAATAGAGAAATAAAGAAGATGGCATTCTTGTTAGAATTGATTAAAAATTTAACGTAAGATACACATAAAAGAAAACGGGAAAAGCCGAAAATCTCAATTTTGCTTCTATTATTGGGACAAAAATATAAAACAAAATAAGTGAGAAATTCGTGTCGTGTTCATCATAATAAATTCATGATGGTATTTTAGAAAATAAAATAAGCGGCTGTGATGTGGAGGCCGAAACCAGCCTCCAACACGCTTTCTAAAGCAAGTGAAATTGACATTGATTACTTTCATCAAAAAAAAAATAGAAAATATAATATTTAATTATTTTCGTTTTTATTTAAATAAGATAATATTGATTAACTATTATTATACTTTTAACAAATTATTGATGTTTTATGATGAATATATTGGTTATATCTATTGTTTTCGGGTGTTCTTATCTTCAATTCATTCAGATTACAGGGACAATAATCGGTGTCTTCTCGATTTTGTATTAGTGATCATTTGTATAATTTTTTTAAATTTTATATATTAATTATGTAAATCTGTTAAAAGTTTAATAATAGTTAAACTTCAATTATCATATTTTAATTAAATAAAAATAAAAATAATTAAATATTATATTTTTTGAATTTAATAAAAAATTATACAAAATTCAATCATATTTTTTATCCAATGAAATAATTGTACCACTTAATAATTATATAGCTAAATTGGAGGTTTATTTTCTTTTCTATTAAGTAAAAATAAAATAAAAAATTCACAAGTCATAAAGGTAGTACCTTACACTTTGAAAAAGTAAAATAGTGTTGGGCGTTTTTCACGAAATATCACATTTTACCATTAATTTTTCTTGTCAGATACTCTTTAGACTATTTTTTTCAATCTAACACCCTTTGCAGTAAGGCGCGTCCCCTGCAGCGCGCCTTAGGTTTAATTACCTACCTACCCCGGACGTTCACACCCCCACCCCTCCCTATAAATACCCTCATTCTCAATCACTTTAATCACACCAAATCCTCTCAACTTCTCTCAAATACTCTTATATTATCTTATAATTGTTTAAGGTATATTTTATTATATTTAATATTTTATTTTTAATTTATTTAAGTATTTAAATTTTTTAATATTTTATTTAATTAATTTTTTTGCAGATATAAAATGGAAGGCGGTCTACTTCGCTTGGAAGGAAATCATATATCGCGACATTTTGCTGATACGATAACATTTTAACGTTTTAATTTAAATTATTAGTAATAATTTATTTATTTATTTAATGCATGATTATTAGTTTAAAAATTAATTTTTGTAATTATTTAATTTTAGGAGAGGGATCGTGTATTAGATCCTTTTATTAGGAACCTTAAGCTAGTGATACCTAGTCGTGTCTTGCTGTATTTAGTAGAGGCTGGATTCGGCCACAAAGGTAGATATGAGGGTCACTGTAAGATATAACCAGACCTTATTGCTGCCTTAGTAGAGCTGTGGAGGTCGGAGACCCACACATTCCATCTTCCGTGCGGAGAGTGCACGATTACACTTGAGGATGTTTCTATGCACCTGGGGCTTTCGGTGGATGGAGATGTGATATTGGGGATGGCGCACGGTTCATGGACTGCTTTGTGTCGGGAGTATCTAGAATGTGTCCCGGAAAGTTTTAACGGTGGTCAGATACCATTAAATTGGTTAGATGCCAATTTTTTGGAGTTAAGCGAGGATGCCTCTGATGATGAAGTTAAAATGTATGCAAGGCATGCATACTGCAGCTGATAAGAGGGTTGCTGATGTCGAACAAATTGTACAACCAAGTTCATTGTATGTGGTTGCGACATCTTGTCGACTTTCGTTTGGCCGGATCACTCAGTTGGGGCTCAGCAGTTTTGGCTTTCTTGTACAGGGAGATGTGTCGAGCCACTGATTACAAGAAAAAGGCTATCGGCGGATGTCTCCTGCTGCTGCAGTCTTGGGCATGGTATCGATTGCCATTTTTATGACCCGTTGTCAAGAACCCATTCGTATTTTCGCTACTATTGAGGTAATTATAAAACTGATTTCGTATATTAATCATTTTATACAGTGTATAATAAATTTTGTTTTCATTGAATAGGTGGTCTACTGATAGGAAAAATCATCAGGAGCTACCTGATGATTTAGAAAAAATTAGGGTGATAATCAATCAGAAGGTTGGCACACAAGTATGCATTTTAATGTTTAAAAATCAATTTTAGATTATAGTTGTATAATTAGATTATTATTTTGATAAAAACTATATATATATATTTGTTTTAGTTTGAATGGTTGTCATATTTTAATGATGATGTGAAGATGGTGATCCCACCTGAGTTGAGGGGCCCATTTGATGTTTGGATGGCGATGGTCCATTTGATATGTTATGCGATCGTCGAGTGGCACTCCACTGATCACGTCTTCCGGCAATTTGGTTGTTTTCAACCAATTTCAGAAGCACCTCGCAATATGGACGAGTTGCATAGCATAGATAAACGCGACAAGACTGATACAGATTGGCTGGTGAGGCATCATGAGTGGGTCGTGCTGTGGGAGGATCGACATCGATGCCTTTCCCGTAGAGAGCCAATTTATGTTGACCACTTAATGGTTGGTGATGATTATTATGAGTGGTTTAACAGTAATGAGAAACCATTTATACTTTCCAACGATGCACAAGGGCGAACCTTTTTGCGACGTCGACAATAAATTTCACCGACACAACACCATCGTCCCCCGACTCGTGGACGAAGAGCAAGTATTTTCGGTTCATCCTCAGCTGCACCAGCAGGACCTTCACAGTAGCCACCGTCTACAACGACTTACATACCGCAGTCATATGTGATGCCTCCACCGTTATTCCCTTACCTGATGCCGTCGTCACCTGGTTTTATGACCCCACCGCCGCCACCGTCACAGAGTTATATGACCCCTCATGGAGGATATTACGGGTCTATGTTTGCAGATCCGACTTGGGGTTCATATACCCACATTTTGGCGGGTTCAGCCTCATCACCCATGGCCGTAGCACAGATACATCCTGTACAACTTTCACACTCAATGATGTCTGGGTTTTATGAGTTTTCCCAGTTTTCGCAGGTCGGTGGGATAGTCAGTCATACACCTCCAGAGTCCTTATTCTATGGAGGTGCTTCATCGTCATCAGCTCCTCATCAACCTGATGTAGCTTCTCAGGACGACGACGACGACGACGATGATGGTGATGATGATGACAGCGAGGAGTCACAACCAATGATACGAAGAAATCCTCCTCGAGACTAACAGCCACCGCCTTGCAGAACACATTCGCGTCGTAGGCATTGATATATTTTGTTTTTTTATTATATTTGTATTTAGTTGTTTATTGGACTTTTTATTGTAATTTTTTTTATTTATCATTTAATACTTACTTTATTTCGTTAATTTGGTTGGATTTATTTTTAATTTATTTTGTTAAATTTGTTGGACTTTTTGTTAATGTATTTTGGTTAGTTTTGTTTATTACCATTTAATATCAGTTATTATAATTTGATTATCATTTACCATTTAGTACTTATTGTAAGTTTGTTGTATTTAGAATTATATTCAAATACCAAATTGTTATTAGTTTGATAAAATTTAATAATTTTGTTCGATAACTTTCTTCAGTTTGTCACTTATTATCTATTTTATTATAATCACATATAACGCCAACGTCCAATCTTGTATTCTTGTATCGTTTTTTTAATCTTCATCATCGGTTATCGAATGACATTAACTTGAAGTAAATGCAATTAAAGTGCAAGAATTATTATTTGATAAACAACTACATCAGTTCCTCATCAATTGTTACTTGATGACAACAGAAGTGGACATGTTTTTCTAGTGTGTCATGGGTTTCTACAATGCCCACATATTATGTCTTGTCTAGATCTTTCTCGAATATCCATATCACAATGAATTCGATTGGATTTTGGACGACCACACTCCCTCAATAAAGTCAGATTTGATACAATTGAAAGCCAATCATGAACCTAATCAGGGTCTTTGTCATTACCTATGGGGGGAACTCAAATTCGTATACCTTAAAAACTTCAGATAGTATGTATACGAGATCCACAAAACAGTTATTGTCTTAACGTGTATACGAGTAAGCTGCTATCACATGAGAGCATGGATACTTCAGAGCTTGAAAAAACCCGCAGTCGCATGTTATGTCTCGTATATTTACTCTTAACGACACAGCTTCAACCCCTTGCCCCGCGCTATAGCCCTACGTGGCGTAAGGCGTGCTCCAGGGGCCGCGCTTTAGACACGTATGTCCATGTCAGCATAAGGCGCACTGCAGGGGACGCGTCGCAGGGGGCACGCCTTTCCCCACGTGGCACCAGATCAGCGTAAAGCGCGCTGCAGGGGGCGCGCCTTATTGCAAAGGGTGTTAGATCGAGAAAAATAGTCTGAAGGGTGCCTGACAGGGAAAATTAATGGTAAAATGTGATATTTCGGGAAAAACGCCGACGAAAGGTGATCCAATCTTTTCGGTCAACTTTTAAATTTTGATGTTAGGTTTACTGAGGAAAATGTGATTCAAATACAGTTTTTTATTATGATTTTAGGTGTTGGTGGGTTGGTGTTCCATTTTTTAGTTTGAGTTGAATTCACGTGTTTAAAAATTTAATTTAACATTTAATTAATATTAAATGGGTAAACTACATAAAATGTCATTAAAGTTTGAATAAGTTTCTCTTTTTGTCACTGAGTTCACCGACATTATCGGTTTATAATAAATCAATCATTCAACCGTTTATAACTATTATTAGGACTAACCTTATGTTGACGTGACCATCAAATCAGTTGACCTGGCATCATTTAACCATACGGGATAACAATTTTGATCGACATTTAACTTCTCATTCACTTCTCTTTATAAATTAGATATCACATCATGACTTACATAAACAACTTGTCATTTCTCTTACAGATCTTAGACTAAGTTAATGGTAGAATTGGAAATTGTAGATACTCATTTTCGGCCGAAGTTATTTTGTTATTTTTATATATATATTTTTATTATATATATATATATGTGTATATAGTAATATAGTTTGTGAAAATGTTTTTGACAAAATATAATATATAATTTTCAGAAAACGATTTTTGAAAGTTTGTATATTATATGGTTTTTGAAAATATTTTGAAAATATATATAATATATAGTTTTGAAAACATTTATATATTATATAGTTTTCAAAACATTTTGAAAACTTATATAATATATAGTTTTTAAAACATTTTGAAAACTTATATAATATATAGTTTTTTTAAAAAAAAAATTGGAAAATTATATAATATATAATTTTAAAAATGTTTTTTTAAAAAATTATATAACATATAGTTTTAAAAACATTTTTGAAAAAAATTATATAATATATAGTTTTAAAAACATTTTTTGAAAACTTATATAATATTTTTAAAATATTTTGAAAACTATATAATATATAGTTTTGAAAACTTTTTTAAATATAATATATAGTTTAAAAAAATATTTTTGAAGAAAATATATATTATATAATTTATATTATTATTATTATTTATTCATTTTCTTTTATTATTTTCTTTTTATGTTTTTAGGGTCCAATAAAAGTCCAGATTTCAGTCCAGATTGGGCCTAACCCAGCCCAATCTCGAGTTAGGGTTTCTAGATATTCAAAAGACACCGCAAAGGAGGGAAATAGGGAGACCGATAGCCAGTCAAGGCACGTCACAACAGCACGAGATTTCTGGCCGGGGAAATCGAGACTGACCCATCCCGAAATCCTCGGCCAACGACGAGTTTGTTACCACGGCCATCGGAACTGTCCAGCACCGGTAGGGGTATAAATACCCCACCATATATCGAAAAGGGGGGTGAACGTCTACACCGAACAAGAATGCATATCAACCAACAAACCGAGGGCCACAAAATACCAACACAGAGATCAACCATCACGAGAAACCATCATCGGCCAAACACACAGAACCATCAACCCATACTACCAAGACAGTAAACCAAAACACCAAAAACCAGCCAATCACAGAAACACAATCACAAACAAAATGCAACCATCAACTAAAAATCAAGGCAGCAAACAACGAAGCAAGCATATTTGAAACAGCAAAGAACAACCAAAAGGTTCAGTTTCTGAACCATTCGGAAGAGAGCACGGCCGTTGAACACTAAAGGTCACCGAAAAAGCGAGAGGGCGACGCATCAAAGGTAAAAAGCCGAAGCTTTGAGCGTAGATCTACGCCGGTGGGGGGATTCCTTGAGTGTTTAGGTTTCGATTTTGGCTTGGGGGCATTAAGACGAGTGTTTCGGGGTGAGCTTTGATTTTTCGGCCGTCGCGAGCGGCGACGTTCGGTGGCAGAGGTTCGACCGAGGAGCTGGTTGAGAGAGTTCTCTCTCGTTTGAGAGAGATGAAATGGTAAGAAATGAGAGAAAAATGGTAATTGATCTATTTAAATACCAGGGGCCTCTGTGTAATTAAAGGATTCTTAAATTCTTTCTGTCGTCCCTCATGTTCTGAAGTGTAATTCGTTTCAGTCACCATATGCAATTTGGCCACTGAATTTTCAATTGATTCAATTTGGTCCCCGTTTATATTTTACATTTTTTTGCAATTTGATCCCTAAATTCTTATTTTATTTTTTTATTTATTATCATGTTTTTTAATTATTATTAGTATTATTTATTTTTATTTCATATTTTTTCCATTTTATTACTTTTAAAATATTTTTTTATTTATCTAATATTTTTAAATTTTATTTTATTTCTTTGATTTGTTTTTGTTTACCATTATTTTTATTTTATTTTATTTTAATCTTTATTTCTTTTTTCCTTTGATTTATTTTTTTTATATCACTACTATTATTTTTTATTTTATTTTTTTATTTTTATTTGTCTTTTTATTTTTATTTATTTATGTTTCTATCTAATATTCTTTTTGTCTTTTTTCAGTAATAATTTCAATCGATCAAAAGGTAATTAATTCGGATTGAATCTTTGAATTTCAATTTTCGCAAATAAAGACAACCGGAAAATTAATTGGTACCGAAAGGGTGGTTCAATAGTGCTAATCCTTCCTTGACCGTAACCGACTCCCGAATCCGACATGTTTCTGGTATAACGCAGATCAGGTAAGATGGTGTCCGACCCACCTAAATTTGTTTTACAGTGGTCGGTGGTGACTCTAACCATTTAATCCAAGTCGAAGCCCAATTCCGGGGCCCAACCGAAAGACGGTTCCGACATGACTCGACTCGTAAACTCTGAAATAGAGCTTGACTTGACTCGAAAACTCGCGAGCTTAAAATTTTCAAGCTCGACTCGAACTCGAAATCCTGAACTGAAGCTCGTGAGCAGCTCGAAAAGGCTCGAAATGAAAAAAAATTCTTAAACTTAACTCGATTGAAGCTTCAAACTCAAACTCGAACATGAACCTTCAATACATAAAAATCTTACTGTATTTAAAAAAAATCAATGCATAAATATTAATATTATTAATAATTTATTTTCTAAAAAAATAAAATCTTAATATATTATATTTTCGAGCTGCTCATGAGCTTTTTGAGTCGAATATCGAGTAGCTCGTTTCGGCTCGTTAAGAACTCGAGTCTAGCTCGAGCTCGAGTCGAATCCATTCGATCCGAGTATTTATCGAGCCTTAATCAAGTCGATCTCGAATAGCTCGCGATATGTCTCGTCTCACTTACATCCCTACTCTTCACAATTTCAAAAATATGGGTAACCTTAGATTTCCATTTTAGTTCAAGTGCCAATGCCCTCTCAACTGCTTCCTTTTGTGAATTCTCTAATTGTTGATTCAATTCAGAAGTCATCTCATCCGACCTTTCATGTAAATTGAAAAAGTGACTATACATTTCAACAAATTTTAATTGATATTCAATTTCTGACAAAGCTCCGCATTTTCTGAATTACATCTTTCTTACTGCTTTGGAGCTTCCTGGAGAACCTCAAGTTCATTGTTCTTAGCTTCAATTAAAAATACATGCAGCTTAACAACTTCATATAGAACCTCAAGTTCAATGTTACTTACTTCAAGATTATCATCATATTCTTTCAAAGCTTCATGTAGGATCACGAGTTCCCTAAATGTCAAATTAGAAAAATTTTACTAAAATATAGATGATGAATTAGTTCCATGTCAAAAAATTAATGATTGAGTGGCTAAAATATAAAAAAATATTTGGATGACCAAATCATTAATGACCAAAAGTTGGATGACTAAAACATTAATTGATGTTAGAGGTTTAAGGCATAGGTGACCAAAAAGTTAATGTCCTAAAAGTAGAGTGACTAAATTGGAAGAATTTTGTTTAGTGACTAAATATTAGAAACCTAAAAGTAGAGTGACCATATAGATAGTTTAACTAAATTAAATGATAACCAAAGATGATATACGGAGGAACAGGTTTCGTTTCTACGGAGGAACAATGGAGAAATTTGTGTTTTTGACTTGAACAAGAATGTTGGAAACAACGAAAGTCCAAACAAGAAGACGTTTTACACGAGCTTGAATATGCGGTATCCAAATTCCCAACTCACATTTAAAATCCAACCAAATTTTCTCCTCACCCGATCATCAAAATTTAACCTTTTAGATCATAGCCAGAAAACCAGTTGTCAAAACACCAGAAATAAAATCAAACCACGAAACTCAATCGAAGTCTCGGTGTGGGTGTTTCAAGAAGGAACCAAAAGAAGAAGAAAACAAAGAAAAAAGCAGAGAAAGCTTTGAGATTGAAGAATTTGCAGAAGAGATTATGGATAATATGTTATGTGATGAACTATTACAGGAAATATTCAAAAGACTGCCATCAACGCCATCATCTTCTTTATCAGTTTCCTTAGTTTCCAAGCGTTGGCTTAGCCTTTATAGAAGCTCAAAAGCTTCACTTTCTCTCAGGTTTTCCCCCCAAAATTCAGTAATTGTTTCTTTAGCTTCTCTTCTTTCTTATTACCCTTCACTTTCTTCTCTCTCACTTCTTGTTCTGACTGATTCAGTCACCAAGGAACCCAATTCAAGCACTGCCTCCTCTGATCACCTGCTTTTCATAGTTTCTACTTCTTGTTCTAATCTTCATCATCTTAGGCTCTTGCCCTGTCCAGTTTCTGTTTCTTCTTTATTTTCGCTATCCAAATCTTGCTCTCAACTTACTTGTATTACTGTTTCTTTATCTGAGCCTCTTTTCCTCAGCTGGATCGTTTCATTTCCTTGCTTGAAGGAGTTATGTTTGTATATATGCCCCAATGAAATAGTTGACGGTGAAGTTGAACGATTCAGGTCGTTTTTATACGAGGAACTGAATGCAGAATTCGGTTTAGAAACTCTTTGTTTGTCTGGGATTCAAGCAGATGATAAGGGTGTTGATTGGCTATGGAGGAACTGCAAAAGGCTGAAGAAATTACAGCTAAAGAGCTGTGAAAGTGTTGGTGATGGAGACTCATTTTCATCGTTTATCTTGTGTGTTAAAGGTCTTCAAGAAGTTGAATTAAGGAAATGTAGGAGTATCGTTGATGGGGTTTTGTTAAGATTGGCAGAGAACTGTGTTTCATTGAATTCTCTGTTGGTTTATGACGGAGGAAGCAAAGAAGGTTTGCTGGAGTTCATAAACACCTGTGGGTCGAATCTGCAGAAACTCGACCTTAGATTGCCATTAGACCTCAACAACAATCATCTCGCGGCCGTTGCAACGAATTTAAGACATATCTCAACACTTAGGCTTCAAAGTTGCTGTCTTGTTACAGGTGAAGGTCTAAACACTCTTGGGACTGCTTTACAGAACAGTCTTGAAGAACTGGCATTGATAAACTGTGATGTCGTCGAAAGAGAGATAGGGTTGTTAGCCACCTTGGGGCAAAGTTTAAGGATGTTGAGGAAATTGGACTTGTCTTATAATGAGCTATTGGTTGATAAAGAGCTTGTTTCGATGCTCATTTCATGCAACAATCTGACGGATTTGAAGTTAAGAGGATGCAGGAAGATAACTGGTGTGGCCTTGGTTTCTATATCTAAGAACAGCAAACGTTTGCGAAGTGTTGATATTACAAATTGTCCCGGGATAGAAGCCGAGGCTGTCGAGTTCTTTGTTTTGAACTGTTCACAAATGAGACAAATGGTGGTCGAGGAGAGCAAGATTTCTGATATTGCAAGAGCATGGGCATTGCATAACGTTATAGAGGTAACTTCTGGTTGATCAATTGATTGATTGAAGTACATAATATATATTTATGTATACACCAAAACTATTGCTTGTTTTCTGTAAATATCTCATTGAAAGGAGCTGCAATAATCATGCTTAAAACTGTTTGTTATTGAAATAAGATACCTGCAACCTAATAGAATAAGGGATTGCAGTTTTTAAAATTCGAACATCAGCTGTATCATATGTTGCCTTGTAAGGGTGATGATATAAATTAACCGAGTTAAGTCTCGGATCGGTGCAATAAACCATTTTTCATATTCATGATACTTGCAAGTTTACGAGTGATTGAGTTTGATGTGGTTATCTTATCTGTAAACAAAGGTGCTGCCTTTGTAATAATAGAATTAGTAATTTTCTTGGAAATATATGAACTAGTTTCCTGGAATGTTTTGCTGTCTTCTTCACGGAGGGGTATGAGGTTAAATCCAACCATTGAAATGTTTACATCGAGAAATGTTTCATATTATACAATATAATGAAGGCAAATATCTGAATCGGTATGAATAAGATAGCTTGGAAGAATAAGTGCGGACATTCCTTACCAACTTTGATGTTCAGTCTGCCCCAGACGTCATCCAGCATGATCTTTACTCATCTTTACTCATCTTTACTCAAGTCAACCTTAAAAACATGGTAACCCAAGTATTGGTAGGCACGTGTAGGGGTGTAAACTAGCTGAGTCGAATTTGAGTTTTATTGAACTCAACTCGAAAAGTTTAAAGTTGAAATCGACTTGATTTGAAAAAGCTTGCGAGTTTAAAATTACCAAGTTGGATTTGAACACGAAATTAAAAATTGAAACTCGACTTGACTCGAAAGCTCGTGAACTTAAAAATTTCAAGTTTTACTCGAAATTAAAAATTAGAAGTTTGACTCGAGCTTGAAAAAATTTGAACTCAAAACATTTTTAGACTTAATTTGATTGAAACTCAAATTCAAGTTTGGTTCAAGCTCAAATTCGAGTTTGTACTTGAACCTTAAGTACACATGAAAGTATTTAAAAAAAAGTTAACAACGTATAAATGTTAATATTGTTAATAATTTATTTTAAAGTTTTAAAATATTATTTTTTCGAGTTGTTCGCGAGCTTTTCATGTCAAGTATCAAGTAGTTCATTTTAGCTTGTTAAGAACTTGAGTCGAGTTCGAGCTCTGTGAATTCATTCGACTATAGTATTGATCAAGTTTTAATCGAGTCAAACTCGAGTAGCTCGTGATCAGTCTCGTCTTATTTACAGTCATAGACACGTGTTCACCTTAAAATCCAAATTTTCTACGATTAATTATCTATTTTACCGATTGTATTTACTCTAAACGATTAGTTACCCATCTTATTCAATAATTTTGTGTTATTAATATATTTGTCCACCATAAAAAATATTTTTGTATGTGTTACTGTTATTTACCGAAGAGCTGAAACAGACGGAAAAACAAGTAATGGACTTTAGCCTTAGCCTTGGCCTTGGAGAGTCTCACCAGACTCCAAATTGATGGATGTTCATATATTAAAGTATTTCGAAATAAAGACTTTCGATTTTTATTTTTAATATTTGGAATTTATAGCTAGATACAAAATATAGTCAGAGTACTCTTTCGTCTCAAAATCTGAATAGAACAATCTTTATTATTTGAGGTGATTCTTTCGGGCAGTTATCAAAAGAGGATTATTGTTTCGAATTTAATCAATTGAGATATTTGAAAACAATAATATAGATATTTCATTAGGACATTTGAATTCAAAGTTGATTCTTTTTCTATTTCTATATTCTTTTTAGATTAAAGGATTAAGTACCGAATAAATAAAAAACAGATACTAGATTCGTGGGCCCTACCTTATAATATAATGAAAGACATGCTTGATAGAAAGATTAGATCAGGTCCTTCATTTAAGGCAGCACGTCTGATATCATTCACAACACACCTCAGCCACTTAGAAGCTTTGCATGGATTAACAATCCACTCCTCAACATTAATCTCAACCTAAAAATTAACCCCAGTAATTGCTCGAATAAATTTTAACATCTCATTTCAATTTGAGGTTAGCATGCATGTGGTGTTTCAAGTTACTAAAAAAAACAAAATCCCATGAATTTGAATAACCTTAAGTGAAATCAATACATCTCAAGACCAACTATTCTCTCACACATCTCGTCCAATATTTTCGCCTCAAACTCTCTGCATTTCTTTTACATCGAAATCGAAGAACCGGAAACTACTCTGATGGCATTCTCTGTTTTCCACCTATCTTTGGTTGGTATAAAAATATACAATTTATATTCAAAGGCATGACCCAGAGCTTTTAAAATAGTATGAAATGGACAATCCTTCCCAATAATAAAAAAGAATACTGATCTCTTTAAAGGTCTTAGATTCGAGCATCAGCATTTATAAGGTATGTATATTGTCAATAAGTTAAGAAAATTCTAAACATAAACAACAATGACATGTATCTAACTAAAAAGAATATAACAATTAATTAGTTGATGCTGGATTAAAATTCATAATAATTGGTACATATGTATAATATTATCGTAAATTTGATATTAGTATATTTTTCTTTTAGAAATAAAAAAATTAAAATATTATATTCAAACGGAAAAAAAAAGAAGCAAAATGTGAAATGAATAAAAATGGAGGGTTATTAAAGTCAGAAAAGAAAACGTGGCCAAAATTGCTCTAATAATGTATTGAAAAAAATTAGTCATAGAGGGTGTAAAGGAAATTATTCTTTTAACTAGAGTGTTTGTTATACTATCTGTTAAAAATTGTTTGGAGATTTCTAAAAGTAGTTTGGATCATTTGACGATTTTTGGAGCACTACCAACTATCCTTATTATCATGTAATGTATGAAGACTTAAGAAGACACCCTACAATTTAAACAATTTATAAAAATCGTCGTGTATTCCAAATAACTTCTAATAGATTCTATAATAATTTGAAAAAAATAATTTTTATATACTCAGTATGACAAAAAAAATCAACATATTAATCAAAATGAATTGCAAAACTTGAAAATATGTCACCTATCTAATGTTTGAGGTATGGATCATGCTCACAGAATGACGACGTAGGATTGGGTTGGCCCCACCGGTGGTGGCGGTGGGCCGGTGGCAAATGGACGGCATGGCCATCCAACCTTAACCATGCACTCCTACTAGCGTATATGAATGCTGACATGGCTCCACCTATATCTTTAGGTTGGCTACCGCCCTATATTCTACGAGGATATCATTGTCACCAAATTATTTTGACCTTCACATAAAATGATAAAATCGACTTATTGAGATACGCAACGTCTACATTCATATAAGTTTTCTTTTTTCATTTAATGTTCATTTTTTTTCAATGTCGGGACATCTTTGTCATTACTCGGTTAATCTTTCTTACAATGCATGATCTTGCGACTGACTCACTTTGCTTTAACACTTAATATAATTACATATAATCAAGAGAAATTATTTTTGAATTATCCGAGGTGATAAATTCTTTAGAATTTAATATTACAATTTAAAATTCTTAACTCTTCTCGTTATACATTAACACTTATAGCCCAAAACCTTCACTGATTTCTCGATTTAAGAGTGAAGCACTTTATGCTAATTTTATTTAATTATAACGTCCTTAATTCTATTAATAACTCACTTTTGTGTATAACAAAATAAATTATTGATCCAAATTAACTCCGGCGATTAGGTTATTTTATTATTTGGAATAAATTAGTGTTTATATTAGTTAACAAATAATCTAATAATGGACGTGACAGTGATATGAACCAACAAAGGACCGACCATGATCTATAGTTATCAAGATTGATGCCCTTTATTGACCGATTATGACCAAATGAATGGAATTGTGGGACTTGTTTTCTATTCAACACATTAATTTTATATGGCCATCCAACTTCATGGTTTATCCATAAATTTATAGTAATTTATAATTGAGGGATACATTATTAATAATGTGCTCTTAAAAGTTAAATTATTTATTCAATTCAACAAATTTAGTTTGATAACAATTCTTTTAACTTAAATTAAATAAGTACGAGTCCAATTATTATCGAAAAAAATTATTTGAATATTTTAATAGAATGATTATGATTATATTTTGTATTAATATAATTAAATTTGATAAAAAAATCTAATAACTAACGAAAAATTAATACTCATAAATATTAAATTTTTACTTTAAAAACGATATTGTTAGAATGGAAGTCACACATGTAAAAAATTTCAGAGGATATCGAGAGCTATTTTTTAAACAAAGAAGTAGTTAAAATTTGAAACAAGTTTTTGGATAATAAGAAAATAATAACTTAAAAATAATTTGATCGAGTCAATTCATTTGTTGAATTCACGGAAACATGGTTGACGATCGTCCATCATGTGTTTTAGTAAAGGATTGCGAAACGTTCATCAAAGAAGGTTAGATCAAGGAGTGCGCAGATCATTTAGCAAACATAGCTCAGTACCAACATGAAGCTCTCGTTATTTTAGATGAACCTCCGACTAGTCTTCTCCCGCTGTTGAATACGGATGTTAGGGGAATAGACACTTTGTAGCTCTAATTACTTTTCTTTCCGTTATTTAAAAAAACCCATATAATAACTAAATTTATCTGAATTAATTTTATCAAATTAAAAGAATAGTAAAGATTTCACGAAGTGGGAATAAAATAAATGTTAACATAAAATGAATTATTATATGATGTATTATTAGTTCAAATGGCAAAAGACCAAGTTGGTGGAATCTTTGTTCATCCACGCCGAGGGCGGCGGACCACGACAATAAATCTTTGTTTGGCCGGTTTGGTTGAGGTTGTTCTTTTATTTAACACTTCACATAAAGAAAAATAATGAGTGGCTGTTTCATTTTTTTTTGAATAAACAATAAATTTTATTTATAATTTAATTTAATTTAATTATTCAATGTATTAATTATTTTTCTTATTTATCCCATAAATATAAAAACTTATTAATATTTTAAAAATTACTTTAATGAATCATGTATCCCTAAGTTATAGATACATTACATAGTTATCTTCTAATATTTATTTTAAATTTATAATTAATTCAATAATTTCTATTGTTAATAATAATATTTTATTTATAATTTAAAAACAATCTGATCTGAATCTAATTTTTAAAATAAAAAATTAAGAAAGTTTGAACCCGAAACATAAATTAACAACAAAACTATCAACCAGAAATGAGAAAACAAAGTTTGAACCCGAAACACTGCCTATCCCAAATGAAGAAAAGATTAGTCAGTCGCCCAAAGAAAAACTTGTTCACTATCGATACCACCATTCTTCAACGAATTAAAATATTTATTTGTAACACTCAAATTTAATTAAAAGAAAATTAGGGACCAAATTGCTAAATTTTGGATTATTTGGGGTCATTCGATAAACTCCAAATCATTTCAGGGACCTAACACCAATTTTACCCATCCATTCTAACCATAAAAAAGTATGGATATGTGTTAAACACCGTGACCTAAGGCATAGTTAACAATGCCTCTACCACTAGACTATGTTCCTATTTGAGTTGTAATAAATGTGTTATTTGATTATATATGAACCATATTAATTCAAAAACAAAAAAACCCCATTAGTCGAACCAAGCTCTCATTTATCGCCCATTTCTTCGTTTAGCCTCCGGCCACCGGTGACGAACACCGCCACCACCGGTGTATGCGTCGTCGATTCGCGACCAAAACCCAACCTACCAAACTCCGAGAAGTCTCGTCGTTTGTTGTAGAAAGCCCCGCAAAGATTCGTCAGAGTTCAAGCTATCTCCTTCAGGTTTTCAATGTTTTCGACCGATCCCGATGTCCATTCATAACACATTCACCTTCTATGTGTGCCTTGTCGTTTTGCGAACAAACCCTAACAGATTATGCCCCCTCACTATTGCTCAGTCGTTGTCACTCACCCGTCACTGTTGACAAAGTTTAAACATTTTAAAATGTCACACTCCGTCGTAAAATAACTCATGCACGAGACTCTTGAGGTGTCGATATACACGAATGGAAAATTTCTCACCGAGCCAATGACTAGAGTTGCCGCACGCGCCGTTCCCTGCGCGTGGGCGTCGTCTGTCAACTAGGGGGTCTGTTGATCGGCTGAATCGGTCTGAACCAGTTGGATTGGTCTAAACCGGTTGGACAAGTCTTAATCGAGCCAAGCCATTGATCATGCCTTGATCGTTGAACAAGCGTTGATCGAACATTCACTTTTTTGGGAACACCTATCCTGATATTATTCGATATCCTGAGTACGTTTTTTAGGTCCATTTCACTAAATTCGAACAAAATAAGTTATTTTTCACTGATTAACCTCATGATTCAATCTTTTTTTGTAATTAAACTCCTTTTCTGATGTAATTTTTGTTGATATGTATTTGAGATATTATTGGACGTTGGATTCAAGTTTGAGAGCGATCAAACAGAGTTTGAATGTTCGATCGGTGTAGCTCGAGAATCGATGTAATACTTTACTACCCTATGCATACTTTACAGTACATGTTGGTATTCATAAGTGCATGGATGAATATATTTCATCTCATCTGTATAGTTAATTATTTCTAAACTCGATTCGAATGCGGTAAAAAGTAAGTAATTGAATAAAACTCTAATGACTCATATAAGAAATTGGAAGATTTATAAGGAACAATTCCAAGTTCCGTAATTAACCATTGAAGTGTTTAACCTCATAACCCTTAAAATTTGATTACTCTAGTTAAAATTTGAAACACCGAAAATACCTAGATGAGAAATTACAAAATTACCCTTGAGAGGTAAAAATAACCTGGATTGACCTTGATTGAAAAAGCATCATGAGAATTCGTATCTAATCCGATAAATTATTGATTTAACTGTTAAGTTTCTATTTTTTTTCAGAATATTTCTGATAAACAGTTCGTAACCTCTAAGAAGGCACTAGACCTAGAATTTCTAATTTATGAGCATACACCTAAAGACTAACTTATCGAAAATACTATTATTGTCAGAATTGATTGAAATGAAAGAAATAATGACAAGTTTGAATTAAATGGAAAGATTGGACGGAAGGAAATGAAATAAATACCCTTGAATTATAAAATGACCAAAATACCCTTGAAGTGTGAAATAACCTAAAATACCCCCAATCCCTGGAATGACTGAATACCCTTAAGCTTTGGAATGAATAAATCTAACTCGAATATCAGAATGATATAAATACCCTCATGACTTGGATTAAGCAATGCCTTTGGATAACTTCTGAAGATACCAGTGAAGTTTTAAATGTTGTAACGCCCCTGAGGTTTTTAGAGTACGACCTAAGTAGGTTGATCATCCATAATACTATTACAATACGGGAAGTAAATAAATACTTCTTAAATACATGTTCTTCTCCTTATGATCCGTCCAAAGATGGTTTTAGAGGTGATCAGTTCGATTCTGCAGTTGAGCCAGTTTTAAGAAATAAATATTCGTGAAGTTTATCTACCTTCATAATTGACAAGTGACTCCTTTGCTGGGATATGTAAAGTGTGATTGGAATTCTGTAAATCACTGTAAACCCTTATTAAATGGATTTATCAAATTTCTCAAGAATTAATTGACAAAAATACCCTTATAAGCCTGATTGATGAAACCACTTTAGAAATGTCTGAATCCTAAATAAATTTTGATTCAATAATTCCTGAATACCTTGCTGATATATCTGAATACTATATGATCTTGATAAATCAATTCCTGAATAACTGATGAATCCATTAGCTATTAAACTCTCTTTTTATAGGGATCTCATTTTGAAATTCCATCAGTTTGTAAAAATTTTGTGGCTCCCCACCTGATAAATACCAAGTGCCCCGAAAAGTAATTAGATCCTCTAGTGTGTTCCCTATGTGTTATAGAATTGTTTTATCTATTCTGAAATGTGATTCATTGAAGTTACTGAATTACTAAAAATTTTAACTGTTCAATATTCTGACTTACTGATGTATTGATTTACTATTTATGAATTATGGCTACATGATATGTGCTATCTGGTTACATGTTTTCACTAGAAAAATATAATTATGCTTGATTTATGGATCATGGAAATTACTGGATTTCTGTATGAATCGATTTATTGGGATACTGTCTAGGTAGGATTCTAGAGTATGGAGGTTCAACTCTGATTAAGCTGGTAAATCCTTACGGACTTAAGGTGACACTTGGGTAGGTTCTGAGGCCTCAAGGTACACTCTTGGTGGGCTCTAAGGCCCCAAGGTATTCCCTTATGTAGGCTCTTAGGCCCCCAAGGTACTCTATTGGGTATTCTCTCATGCTCCAAGATAATCCCTTAGGTTTGCTCCTACGCCCAATGAGCCTAGGGTAAGTCCTTATGGATGCAGTTATGGGAATTGCATATCTGTGTTCAGTTTAAGGGTATTACTGTGGTTTTAAAATATGTTTTAAACTACTAATGTTTTTAAAGGATCTGTGCACATTTCTCTATTTTGTTGGAACAAACTAGACTCTCCAATTCAATATTCTAAACCTTTCTCTCTGAATGCTTCCTTCAGACCGTAAATTCCTGTTTGTAACTGAAGACTCAACTAATGAAATCTGAAATCACCGCTAGAATCTGATGATGTCTGTCCCGCTAAGGGAATCTATGCTTTACCATATACCTGATGACCTATTGCATTCATCTGTTAGTTTTGTATTATTGAGCTTTCCAATGTTCACTATGTTACTTACCATTTCAGGTTAAAGGAAATGTCATTGTGTTGCTTTCGACATCAGTCTTGGGAGTTCCTTCGACGTTGCTTGCAGAGTACAATGTACGTGTAATTAGGGGCTTGTATGTCGCAGTTATTTTTATATTGGTGTCTAAACTCGTTTTAATAATGTATATATTTGACTTATGTTTTCAATATATGAATTATTTCTGAACTTGTGTTTTTATTTATAATTGCATTACGGTTTCAGATGATTTAACAAAATTTTAAATTTCTCTGAATTTTCAGTGTGGGTCGTTTCGATGGCCATAATGTGACACATTGGATTAGATCGGGTCACCCGTATTGATATGAGGGTGTTACATTATCTTTGTAAAATTAAATTAAATTATTTGATATGAGATATCAACTTGACTAAATATTTTTAAAAACCAATAGATTAACTTAAAATAATTATGAAAAAATAATTTAAAGATTTTTTTTTACTAAAACAATAATTCAAATCCTTAATATAAAAAAATAGTTAAGATTCGATTCTAAAGTTTATGTTATTTGATCACTCCAATTAATAATTAATAATTAATAATTTCAATGTTATTTTCTTGGATATTATTTTAAAAAATATCATTAATTACTTTCAAAGAATTGATCATGGAAGTTGCTGCCTTACAACCACTTTGATTATGAAATTGTCTCTCTAACAAAATCCTCATTTTTACAATCAAAGTTACCCTTGCAATTGACATCTTTCATTGTTTCTAGTAGGTAAATTAGGATAAACCTTCATTTCAATAATATGCTTAATGTTGAGGCAATCCATTTAGATTTTTGTCCATTTTAAAAGTTTTAAACTTTTATATAATTTAAATATTTTTTTATATTTTTATTCATAATTTATTTTTGTTTCATGAAATTTTATATGTTTGTCCCTTAAAAATTTTATAAATTTATCATTTAACATAAAATATTATGTCGATCTCTTTATTTAATATTAGGAGGTTGCATGGGCAAGTTTGTATAGCAAAAAGGACTTTTAAGAGAATCTAAAGATCACAAATTTAAGGTTAATTAAGAAAAAAAAGGATGTTGGAACCCCCCAACAGACAACTCTGACAACATAAGGCCTTAAGACAAAAGAGAAACTGTTAACAGGGTTTGTCTGAAACTGGAAACATGTCAACAAAATTCTCATGTTCTAAAATCAAATTTGATCTTAAACCAAAAGAGAATATATTTTTGCATTATCAACAAAGCTGTATCAGCCATCACAAGCCATGTGAGTGACTAATCAGTAGGTCCAATGTCCAACTCAGCATCTATATCAGCAAATACCAAGTTGCATTTGTCAGCTTATAAGCCTTGACTTTGAACAATATACCTGTTTATCAGAAGATTAATATATATACGTATACATATACATATATGTACATGTATATATATAAGCAATCATCCAGCAATTCATGTTTATGAATGCTTAAAGATCATAGGTAGTTTTCTTTAGTATTCTCGAACTCGAAATTCGATTATTCTTCTGCAGGAAATAAATGGCAACTGAAGCAGTGATCATTCAAGAACCCGTTTCCATGGTGGTAGGGTTTTTTTTTATCTTCTATGCTCCATAATTTATGAATGTTTAGAAACCGTAGACAGTTTCTTTAGTGTTCTTCAACTCGAATTCGATTACTTCTGCAGGAAAAAATTGCAACCGAAGCAGTGATCATTCAAGAATCCATTTCCATGGTGGTAAAGTTCTTTCATCTTACATGATTAACAGTTTAAGAATGTCCATACTCACGGGCAGTTTTCTTTAGTGTTACCGAACTCGAATTCCGTAACTTCTGCAGGGAAAAATGGCAACTGAAGCAGTGATCATTGAAGAACCCATTTCCATGGAGGTATAGTTCTTTCATCTTACATAATTTGCTTAATAATTTGCTTAATGTTTAATCTCCATGTCTTCTAGTAATTGTTGATTGGTGATCATGCATCGAGTTTGATATTCAAAATCACGTTTTTTTTCTCTCTCTCGAGTTTTCGATGTTTATGAAAAAACTTAAAACTGGATGATCTCTGAGATCTTTCATTATCCATTAATTTATGTTGGTTGATGAAGATCTTCTTTCTTTTCAATCAGCATAAAAGACTGTAATAAGCTTATAGCAGCACTGCGTTCACTATGAGGTATTATAGTCTTTAGATCTCCAAAGGCATGAACAAGATCTCTCTTTTGTATCAAATTAGTTGGTCCAAATACAAGGAAAAAATGGAATAAAAATTTAACACAACAGGTATCCGTATTCGATATATAACTCTAGTCGAGTTTGGTAATTTTATTTTACTTCCCACAACCAGACTAAGATAAGTACCTAACACTAACTATTCGGATTCGGATATTCATTTCGTGTTCATGTTATTATTTTTATAAATTTCTTTGACATGTTAATAATTCGTGTTCAAAATTGGCAAGTGTTATCTGACAGCCAAATAGCTTCAGTATCACTATTATTTGAAAATCCTTTTGAAGAATAGTTCAAATGGAAAAGGGAAAAAATCCAAGAAATGGATAGGCTTACCAAATTTAATGATGTTACCAAATTTCATTCTTCCAGAGAATAACAATAACAGGTTTCTACCATATGTGCAAATGAAAATAACTCTTTATTATCAACAAATAAAAGAAAAAAATAACTTTTTTTCCTCCATGCAGAAAACAGAAGAGATCAAGCACTTGACCTTGGAAGTATCCGCTAGTAATAATGGCGTCGAAATGCCAGATTTTGTCGCTGAAGGCAATCATGGAATCGCCAAGAGTGAGAGTTTTTTTGATGTCACCTGAGATTTCCAAGGTTGCCAATGAGACCTGTGGAGTGTTAGATCACATTGAGGTTGTTGGCACTCCATTTAAAGCAGAGAAGATACCAGAGGATGAAGTTAAGATCGCGGTTCTGATCGAGGAAGAATCTGGAATTGAAGAGGGAGATACAGTTGATGGCAGTGAAGAACTCGAGAAACAAGCTTCAATGGATTCCCATGACGCAACAGTTGAAAGCTTGAAGGAGGCTAAAGAAACAGTTACTGAAGCCAGTAGCACCGATCAAGTTAATGAAGCCGAAGACACCAAACCGGAGAAGCTGCCAGCCGAAGCAGGAAAGGAACAAATCATTTTGGATAGCCTCGGAGAGACCTTAACTGAAACGGTAGCTGAAAGTGAGGGGATCGATTGTATGGATGAACCTGAAGTGTATGAAAAGGTTGAAGAAGTTTTCAATGAAGAGATAAAATGCACCAATGGAGAAAATGATGGCCTAGAAGATAATGTTGACGAAAACGGGTAAAGAAAACGAAAGAACACGAGAATTTTACGAGGTTCGGCAATGTGCTTACGTCCTCGGTGCCTAGGCGGCGCTAGAAGTTTTATTCAATGATATTTTAGGTCCAGGTTACATCTCTATTTATAATAGAAAACCCTGGTACATAATTACAAAATCAACCCTGTACCGTACCGCGGGGGCTGCGCCCCCACACCCCCAACCCACATAATTCGTAACCCCACAACGAGACCTTTTATGAGCCATACATAACAAATCTCCACCTTGGCGAATATCCTGCCCCTTGGAAACTTCAATGTGGGTTGGGTTACCTTGCTTCTTTAACAACTCGAAACATTCAACAAGTCCAAGCAATGCTTGAACTTGTCTGTCGTAACTGGCTTGGTGAACATATCAGCGGCATTCTCATCAGTATGTACCTTCTGAAACAAAACCTCTCCAGATGCAACCAACTCTCTCTGATCTTGTGGAACCTTACATCAATATGTTTAGTTCTAGCACGATACACCTGATTCTTAGCCAAGTGAATAGCACTTTGATTATCACAAAGCAACTGAACTCCACCTTGTTGAACACCCAACTCCTTCACTAAACCAGTAAGCCATAAAGCTTCTTTTGCAGCTTCAGCCGCTGCCATGTATTCAGCTTCAGTTGTAGATAGTGCCACGACAGATTGAACAGTAGACTTCCAGCAAATAGGCCCTCCACCAAGAGTAAACACATACCCTGTCGTAGATCTTCTATTATCCAAGTCACCTGCATAATCTGAATCCACATATCCTACAACCAAAGGATTATCCCGCTGACTCCCAAAAACAATTCCATGTCCCACAGTACCCTTTAAGTACCGAAAGATCCACTTGACTGCATCCCAATGTTGCTTACCAGGTTTAGACATGTACTTACAAACTTGACTAACAGCATGAGCTAAATCAGGACGAGTACATACCATCGCATACATCAAGCAGCCAACAGCATTAGAATACGGAACCTTTGCCATATTTTCAGCTTCCTTATCTGTCTTAGGGCACTGTTCTGATGAGAGCTTAAAGTGATTCGCCAATGGAGTGCTAACTGGTTTCGCGCTGCTCATCGCAAACCTTTCTAGCATTTTCTCAACATAACCCCGTTGAGATAGCCGCAGTTTCCTTGAGTCTCTGTCCCTGCAAATTTCCATTCCAAGAATTTTCTTTGCAGCACCTAAATCTTTCATATCAAATTCATGACTCAATAAAGTTTTCAAACCGATAACATCATCCATGTTCTTCGCAGCAATCAACATATCATCAACATACAGTAATAGAAAAATAAAAGAACCATCATCAAGGCTCTTAACATAGACACAACAATCATACTCACATCGGTTGTAGCCAATCTTGATCATATAGGAGTCAAACCGTTTATACCACTGTCTCGGAGACTGTTTTAACCCGTACAAAGATTTCTTCAATCTGCAAACTAAATGCTCGTTTCCAGGTTGAGTGAAACCTTCAGGTTGCCGCAGGTAGATCTGCTCCTCTAAATCACCATGCAAAAAAGCAGTTTTAACATCCATCTGCTCTAAATGCAAATCCCAACTAGCCACCAATGCAAGTACTGCTCGGATTGAAGTGTGCCTGACCACAGGAGAAAAGATTTCATCATAATCAACTCCTTTCTGCTGTGAAAAACCCTTCGCTACCAAACGAGCCTTGAACTTCTCCCCCTCTTTTTCTGTTACTGCTGGTTTCTTCTTATACACCCATTTGCAACCAATCGTCTTCTTACCCTCAGGAAGGGGAACTAACTCCCATGTGCGATTGTGATTCAAAGACTCCATCTCCTCAACCATGGCTGCCATCCACTTGTCGTTTTCCTGACTAGTAACGGCATCATGAAAAGTAAGGATCATCACTGCTAACAGTAAGTGCAAAAGATACCAAGTCTTCAAAACCCAATCTGTTCGGAGGCTTTATATTCGTCCGTCTCACCCTGTCTCTGGCGAGACTATAATCCTGCAAATCATCCGTAGTGGAACCACCAGAAGTCGGTTGAGAAGTTTCTGGTTTCTCAACTGGAAACTGCTCGAAATCTACCACTGTCGTGTCTTGCTTCTGCTGCAACATAGACTGTTCATCAAAAACGACATCTCTACTAATCACAACTTTCTTCGCAACTGGATCCCAGAACTTGAATCCTTTGACACCTTTCTTGTAACCCAGAAAAATGCACTCCTTCGATTTTGCATCAAGTTTGGATCTCTCATCAGCAGGTACATGCACATAAGCAGGACAACCAAAAATCCGTAAGTTATCAAAACTAACATCATGACCAGTCCATACCTCTTCTGCAACTTTCCCAGCCAGCGATGCCCTTGGCGATCTGTTGATAAGGTAACACGCCATGTTAACAGCCTCAGCCCAGAAGTGTTTGGGAAGCCCCGCATTCAACCGCAAACATCTGGCTCTTTCATTCAACGACCTGTTCATTCGTTCCGCAACACCATTCTGTTGTGGTGTCTTGCGCACTGTAAAATGTCTCTGAATCCCATGCTCCTTACAGAATTGTAGGAACTGTGAATCTGTGTACTCCGTACCATTGTCAGACCGCAAACACTTGATTTTTCGTCCTGTTTGGTTTTCTACCTCAGCTTTCCACAGCTTGAACTTCTCAAAAACTTCAGATTTCTGTTTCAAAAAATACACCCAAACTTTCCGTGAAAAATCATCAATAAAAGTAACATAGTACCTAGATCCACCCAAAGACGATGTCGTGGAAGGCCCCCATACATCAGAATGCACATAATCAAGAATCCCTTGAGTTGTGTGCTTCGCAGTCTTAAAACGGACTTTAGTCTGTTTACCAAGAACACAATACTTGCAAAAATCGAGCTTACAGCTTTTGACACCATACAACAAGTTTCTCTTGTGTAATTCTGCCATACCACGTTCACTAAGATGAGCAAGGCGCATATGCCACAATTTTGTCGTATCATCACAGGACTCAACAGAGTGAACTCCACCTGCAACGGTACTCCCTAACATCTGTAGATATTCCCTGCAGTCATCTTGCCTTTCATCACAGTCAATTCTCCTTTAACAATCCGAATGGTTTCCCTATCCTCGTCAGCCTTAGGGATAAAACCATTCTTGTGCAAAGTGCCCAAGGAAATCAAATTCTTCTTCAAGTCTGGGATATGTCGAACACCACTCAACGTCCGAACGGAGCCATCGTGCATCTTAATTCTGACATCACCAATACCAACAATATTGCAACATTGATCATCACCCAAATAAACCGAACCAGAATTAACCGGCATGTATGTCGAAAACCATTCCCTATTTGGCGTGATGTGATAAGAACATCCAGAATCAAGAATCCAAGCATCCGTCAATTGTGTCGTTGAAATAGAAAGCATATCACCCTCACTGCAATCAGAAGTATCATCCTCGACCACGTTCACAGACTTGGATGAGCCATCACGCTTCTCATCAGTCTGCTTTTTCAACTTCGGACAGTCTCGCTTCATATGTCCCGCTCCTTGCACTTGTAACAGTGAATCATCTTCTTATCCTAGACTTGGATCTGGAATTCCGCTTCCCGGACCCTGCCTTCTCTGGCTTCCGTCCACGATCTCGATTACCCTTGACATAAGCTATCGGCTTGAGAGCTTTCCCCTGCATTCTGCTTCCGCTGGTTGTGAGCCAACAAGGCTGCAGTAATCTCCTCAACGTTGATAGTCTCTTTCCCATATGTAAGAGTAGTCACCATGTGTTCGTAAGAGGAAGGCAACGAACACAACAGAATCATCGCTCTGTCTTCATCCTCAATTTTCACATCAAGTCGAGCCAGATTAGAAACGATTTGATTGAAGACATTCACGTGTTGCGCCAAATCGTGATCGTCCTGCATCTTCAGCCCATACAGCCGCTGCTTCAGATACAGTTTTGTCGTTAAGGATTTGGACATAAACTGACTTTCCAACTTCCTCCAAATTTCGTCTGGAGACGATAGATGCATGACGTGATACATGACCTCGTCCGCCAAGCATAATCGTATGGTTCCTGCCGCTCGCTGCTGCAATTCTTCCCAATCTTCCTCATCCATCGACGCCGGCTTTGTAGGTCGCAAAGCCTTCAAGATCCCTTGCTGCGCCAATAGATCCTTCACCCTCGTTTGCCATAATCCGAAGTTACCCTGACCATCGAATTTCGCGACTTCGAATTTTGCTCCTGACATCTGATACCAATTGTTGACGAAAACGGGTAAAGAAAACGAAAGAACACGAGAATTTTACGAGGTTCGGCAATGTGCTTACGTCCTCGGTGCCTAGGCGGCGCTAGAAGTTTTATTCAATGATATTTTAGGTCCAGGTTACATCTCTATTTATAATAGAAAACCCTGGTACATAATTACAAAATCAACCCTGTACCGTACCGCGGGGGCTGCGCCCCCACACCCCCAACCCACATAATTCGTAACCTCACAACGAGACCTTTTATGAGCCATACATAACAGATAAGAATTCCATCATGAAAACTGAAGAACTGCCTCCACAAGCACCTGATTTCGGGACGCAGAGTTTCAGCCAAAGCTTCGGAATGCCAAGTGAATTAGATAAAGATTATGCAAACTCTGAATCTGAAAAGGTTGCGGTGGATGTGATACAGGTCACATGCAAGGATCTGGCCGTGACAGAGGCATCAAAGGAAATGAAAAGAGATGAGGGATCTGCTGTTGCAATGCCTGAAGGATACATTACTGAAGTAGAACTTGTTTCGATCCCGAATAAGAAGCCCTCAAGTCCTATGAATGTAGTTTACAAAGATGTTGATACTGCCATCTCTGGTGAAACCGCAGAAGGAAGCGCAAGCATTGAAGACACATCAGTAAAAGACCATAAAGAGAGTTCCGATGACAATGGGAATACTGAAACTGTGGAAGTAGAGATTTCAAACAAGAATGCTGATGATTCACATGTTACAGATTCATCAGTTGGACAAACGGTGGAAAACAAGCATGAAAATCCGGATGAGTTCTCCTGCATTCAACCCGAAGAACAAGGCAATGAAGCAATTGGCACATCTGCAAAGAAGGAAGAAGATAGTGAAGATGTCTCCAAAGCATGTCAAAGCAGAGATAACACAAATTCGGTGCATATAATCACAGAAGCAGCAGCAATAATAGATTTGAAATCGGAAACTAGTCAAACGCGTGAGGAGAATGTAAAAGAGATTTATGTCGTGGACACTGAAAAATGTTCACAAAGCAACAAAGTCCTTGAATACAAAGAAGAGGATTTAGAAGATTGTAAAGCGGAGACGACGGATGAGATATCTGAAGAAGAGAATACTGCAGCAACGATGTCCATAAAAGAGGTAACTAACTTATATGTCTCACTGATCTTTGAACTTCTCACTTGTTCGGAATTTCCAAACTATTCGCACGCGCATGCACACCATGACATAAGAGCAGACCAGGACTCCCTTATATCGTATTAAAACGGTGTACATTAAAAAGATTTTTGCATTATCCTGCATCAAGTTTGGTCTTGTTTAATCTGATCTGTTACCTTCTAGTACTTTGTCACGGTTAAGTTAAATTGTGTTTTTTTCATGCAGGTCCATAAAGAATACGAAATAGCAGATTCAGGTACCGTGAAAGAAAACCCAGGAATGAAAGAATATCCGATAGCCGACATCACTAACTCATCAATTAGTGATAAAACTGTTAAAGAAAGCATGAAAGAAGGTGAAAGCAGGCCGATGAAGTCAACAGAAGAGGTCAGCTATTAATGGAAGTTGATTATGTTTGACAAGTATTTTCCTTTCGAACCCTCATTCGTTGTCAACTTATGGACTCAATTCTTTTATAGGTTAGCGACTCGAACATTGAAGAAATGGACTCTATAGAGGAAACAGAAAAGCCAGAAAACAATCACAGTCCTTCCAATGTAAAGGAGTCAAAAGAAGAAATAATACCAATTGAAGTGAAAGAAGACCATGTCCATAGCTCATTGATTAAGCTTGAGGAGTTCGGGAAGGACACTGAAAAAGAAACAAATGTAAATGAAGGGGAAAAGAACCAGATGCATAACATTGTTAGCGTTGAAGAGATTGGTGTAACGACTGAATATGAAGGGATCAGTAACATGGATGTGAATTCAACGGATTCCTCCCTGACATGTGGTAAGAACTTGGAGATACCCGAACCCCAAAATGATGGAATGCAGGATAAAGTTCCCAATGCAGGAAGAGAAGATGATGTTGAGCTGAAAAAGGAGATTCGGTTGAAAGAAGTACCGGTAGACGAAGTTAAGGAACATTCAATGGTGCCTTCAGAAGAATATGAGGACACACCCATTGAAGAGAGGACAATAGCTGATGAGACTTTGGAGAGAGATCAGGATCTGTATGAGCACTTGGAAAAAGTTTCAGTGGACGTGAAAGTTGTACTGGACATAGACAAGGGGCCGCAAGTGGTAACGGAGGTATTAGATGAACTGAAAAGGGATGAGGAATCAAATGTTCCGATGCCTGAAGGAAGAATTACTGAAGCAGAAAATGTTGATTTAGTACGGCAGAGTCAGGAAGAAAGATCGAAGGAAGAAACCCTGGAGAGCTTCCAGCAAAAGAATGAACCGGAAAAGGAGAAGCCTATTTGTCCTTTGAACGTTGTTTCTGAGGATGTCAATACTGCCATCTCTGGTGAAACTGTAGAAACAAGCACAAGCATCGAAGAAACAACATCAATTAAAGACCGTGAAGAGAGATCTGAAGAAGAAGGGAGGGAAGACTCACCAACCAACCACCTGCAAATTGAAGTTAATGAAAATACCGAAACTGTGGAAGCTGAGATTTACAATAATGCCGATAATATACATGTTGCTGATTCATCAATTGGACAACTAGAAGAAAATGAGCATGAAAAGCAGCATGAGTTCTCTGATGTTCAACCCGAAGAACAAGTCCATGAAGCGATTGGTGCATCAAAGGAAAAGGAAGAAGATGGTGATGATGTCTCCAAGGCATGTCAAAACAGAGATAGCACAAATCCAGAGCATACATTCCCAGAAACAGCAGCAACAACGGAGCTGAAACCCGAAACAAGAGAAATGGACAACAAAAACACAATGTTCATAAAAGAGGTTTATCTATTGGACTCCAAAAACTTTTCAGATACCAATGAAGATTTAGAGAATAAACAAGAGGGGATACAAGAAGAATTAGGAGAACATGCTGCATATGCCACGGAGAACATAGAAGAGGTATAGTTCTTGAGAGTACCAACTCAGTTTCGATCTTTTCGTTAAAAGCAAGTGAAAGAAAAAAAAGGAGAGATCATCTCGTAAAAGTACTTGTTCTTCATGCAGGTTCATGACGGTCCAAAGGAAGAATGTGCAATCATAGATGACTCACTGAAATTTATAAAAGGAGAAAAAGAAGAGAAACCTGAAGTAAAGGTGAGGTTCAGACTTTTTAAACATTTTGTGGCCTTGTTCTTGAGGTCAAGTTGAAAGCTGAAAACCTCCATGTTTAACTGATCTTTCGATATATTTTTCATTTTCATTCAGGTCTGCGGAAAGCTGGAAACAGATGATGCTGTTGAAAAACAAGTTCCAGAGGAAGAGAACGAAGATCAGATAACACTGAAAGAGGTAAAGAAATTATACAACTCACTTGTTCGGGATTTCCGAACTCGAACTTCCATTGAAAGTAATTCAATAAAGTTCACTGAAGAGGTCAGCTATTAACGGAAGTTGATTATTCCGAATGTTATTCTCTTTCGAACCATTATTCGTTGTCAACTTACAAACTCAATTATTTTACAGGTTGGTAACTCAAACATTGAAGAAACAGACTCTATAAAAGAAGAGAAACCTCAAACATTGAACACCTTTTTCATTATGCAGGCTCATGAAGGTCCAGCAATGATCATAATGGTAGATTGTGCTGTCACAGATGACTCACTGAAATCTACTGAAGAAGATGAAAATGAAGAGACACCTGAAGTAGAGGTGAGATTCAGAAAACTTTTAAAATGTTTTAGACACTTTTTCTTGAGATTATGTTGAAATATTGAAACCTCCACGTTTCACCGACCTTTAAATATATTTTTGTTCAGGTCTGTGAAAAGCTGGAACTGGACAAAACAGTTGAGATTGCTGAAAAACAGATTCTAGACGAGGAAGATAACAAGGGTGAGACAACACTAACAGCAGAGATGGTGAAAGAAAAAGCTAAAGAAGAGAATACTGCAGCAATGGTGTCCATAACAGAGGTAAGCTTGATCTTCCATCAACTTATACATTCAATTGTTTTACAGCCTAGAAACTCGGTCATTGAGGAAGTGGACGCTATAGAAGAAACAGCAAAGCGACGTAATGATCCTAATCTGTTTGATATTGTAAAGGAGTCAAAAGAAGAAATAACACCAATCATAGTGAAGGAGGACCACGTCTGTAGTTCTTTGTTTGGGCTCGAGGAGTCCAAAAATGACACTGAAGAGGAAGCCCCAATATCATGTGCTACAGAAACAGAAGAAACAAACATAAAGGGAGCTGAAGCGGAAGAAGAAAAGAATGAAAGAAATAATGCTGTTGTTGTTGAAGAGAGAAGCCTAGAAACAACTCAACTTGAAGGGATCGGTGTATACAGTGCAGAAATGAATGTGAAATCACCAACTGAGGACACAGAAATTCCCCGAGAAATAGATGCAGTTCAGGACAAAGTTCCAAATGCAGGAAGTGAAGATCGATTGGAGATGAAGGCTGAGGAGATTCCTTCGAAAGAAATATTAGGATGTGAACTGAAGGAATATGACCCCACGCTCATTGAAGAAAGGAAAATATCTGCTGAAACTTCAGAAAAATATCGGGATCTGTATGAACACTCCGAAATTCTGCTGTCACAAGAAACAGATGAGAAAATAATGCAAAATGAGGATAATCCAAAATCAGATGTCCCTAAAGCAGAGCCTCAAGATACTGGAAATGAGAGCAGACATGAAGTTAAGGAACAGTTGGCGGAGGAATCTAAAGCTGAGGTCACCAATGTCTCTACTGGGGAATTACGTAGTGAACAGGACAATCAAACCGATGCTTCCAATGCAAAAACTCTGCAAGATGAAAAATCATTGGATTTAAGACTGAAAACAGAGCAAAATGAAGATGGAAAGCCGTTAGATGAAGTCACGGATTTGGGAGAAACAGTGGGTTCATGTAATGATGATGAAAAGGTTATCAAAGAAGAGAACTTAGCTAAGAACTCGGAAGAAACAGAAAGCTTGAAGGAAGATAGTGAAATAGGAAAAGAAGATCAGATTCCCCGGGTGATTATCATGAATGATAATGAAAAGGTTAGCGAATAATTACTATTTTCATTCTTTAATGTTCTTAAGAAACAAAATCAAATTAAAGAATATGAAAACAGATAACAGTTCAATTTGATAATTTTCATTTTTGCAATCATGTAAGAGATTCAATCTTATAAGCAATCTTGCTTTCTATGTCTCAAATAAATGTATTGGCAGGTGGAAGACTACAACTCGGTGTCAAATGAATGTCTCAACGAAGAAGATAATAGCAGATAGTAGCAGAAAACTTGGAGCTCGAAGAAGATAAAACCAATGACGGAGAAGCATCCCACATCATGAAAGAATTAGAAGAAACGAGACAGGATGAAGAATCCACAGATCCTGTAAGTGTGCACATTGAAGATCGAGAAGCAGAAAGAAATTGAGATTATCCATGACTCGAAACAATGTCATGAAGAGAGTTGTATTGAAGCTGTAACAGAAGTAAGAGCTGAGAAGAGCTTAAACGACACTGATGAGAATTCAAAAGCATTGAATATCCACTCAGTTGAGACGAGTCCAGAAGTTGTTGAGAGTGATGCTAATCAGGAGGCTGAAGTAGAAAGCAGCTTGAAGAGAATCCTCTGGCTTGGATCCTGATGTCCGAACTAATAACAACGACGATGTGCAAAAGCAGAATCTAAATGTGGAAACTTTAGACAAGGATGAAGCTGAGGTAATCAAGAGAGCTCCCAATGCATTTATATGCCTGAAGTTCGGATTAATGAAGCTGAGAAAGGCCACAAAGCGAAATGGTGATGAACTGAACATGGATCATGAGCTTGTAGAGGAAAAAAGTGAAGCCTCCAAAATTCGAACGCTGATGAACTGGGGAAAATTGATGACATTGGTCCCCCTAAAACTGTTTTAGAAGTGAAACCCGACGAGCAAATCCAAACTTCAGTTTGCACATTGCTTTCTGAGGATGAAAGAGATCAGAATTGAAAACCCATTGAGAAGATTGAAGAGAAACAGAAGGATGCTGAAATAGAACATGATAGTGAAGAAGATTCTTCTGAAATAAAGATAATAGAAAAGGTACGCTTGTCAAATGAAGAACAAAGAGAGCTTAAAGCAGTCTCGGAGAAGAAACTATTGCTGATCAGGGTCCTCTAAATGATGAACCAGAGGAGCAAATTCAAACTGCATCTTCGACATTACCTTCTGAGGAAAGTGAGCATGGACTGGAGCCATAAGTAAGGAGATAAATATGGCAAAACAAAGGAAGAAGTACAAAAAAAGCTAGATGCTGCTGCAGGAGATGAGTAACTGGTGAGCAGACTATCTCAGATGATAAACCAGAAGAATGGATTACCAGCCCTCCATTGGTTTCAAGGGAAAAGGATGAAGAAAATATGCACAGTTGAGAAGACAGAAAAGAGAAATAAATGAAGCAGGCATGATTCCGGAAAAGATTTCAGAAGAATTTTTTTTTGTTACGGAGACAACAACTGAGCTATGCGTAGAAAAAGAAGAGCTTCTTGAGCTTGATGATGATAAAAAGGATGATGCTGAAAAGAAGATGAGAAACAAAAGAAGTGTCATCATAAAAGATGAGACTGAAGAAGATGCTAACGATACAAAGACAAGATTAGAGATATGTTCACAAACGGAAAGGTCTGTTGAACTAGAAGCTGTTGGAGAATATGAAAGACAGCTGTTGAGACTCTTGCCGAAAGATATCAACGAACAAGTTCCGAATCTGACCATTGCCAACAAATCAGCTTCATCCTACAACCTCAATGTTTCCGTCTGAGGTCCAAGGAGATGAAAGGAAGGAATTGAATTGGAAGAAGAACAGAGTACTGAGAAGATTCCAGAACAAACACAGGAGATTGGGGAAGCTTCGTATTTCAATACAGAGATACATGAAAAGGCTTAAAAATGAATTACTCGACAAAACAGAAGATGTGACAATCCAGGAGAAACTTGTCAAAGGAAGAACTGAGGCAGGGAAATCATACTGAATGAGGTTTCAGCAGAAAAGGTAAGCAATGCTAAACTTTGTCTTCTTATTCATTCTGCTTTTCAATATCTATATTGAATTTTAATCTATAACAGGTCATAGTGGAAGCTCAAAAGACCAGAAAATGAGGATCTGGTCGAGATAAAACTGTTGAGGCTCCTTGCCAAGCTTCAGTTGCCAGGAGTGAAAGCACAGCGGTAATAGAAGAAGTTAGACTGCATCAAATCCTATTTCCGAATCTTCATCAGAAATCCATTAAAATGACGAAAGGGATTCCAAGTTTCGGCATAATAGAACATGGTTAACTCATTGAAGGAACTCATGAAATCAACATTAATACACATACAATAATGGAAAAACCAAGTTGTATAAAATGTCAATTCTTTTCAGATGTTTCATATCACCATTCAATTGTATTGTTCATTTAAGTAGGTAGCAGATTCCCTGAGCCCTAAACTAATATATCGTTTTCAAACAGAATGTAGTACTAGCGGGTTTTGAAGAAAAGCCCAAATCTGATCTGCACCAGTGACTGAAGACCAAAGTGAGGGAACATTCCCTGAATCCAGCAAGTATGAAGATGAAACCAGCATTGATTTCAGAATCAGAACTGGAGAACAGATAAAAGAGGACTGAAAGACAAAGTGAATGATGAACATATTATTAGCAGAGACCAAAACACAAATGAGACCGAGGATATCATTTTGCCTGAAGAGGTAAAGAACACTTGTAAATATTTTTCCTACATTGTTATTTAAGGGGATTTCTTATGTTAATTGAAAAATTCATTTTGAAAGGTTGGTAAGGAATTGAGAAAGCCGAGGGTAGTAGTGAATGCATTGAAGAAATGTCAAGGAGAAAGAAAGTAGCACAAATGAAACTCATCAAGTACCGAATGGAGACGAAGCAATTAATGAGGTCATATCATTAGTTCATAATAAGTCGTTATGGTGAATAGCTCTTTTCATGTGTCAAATTCTCAATGACTTTACTATGTATTATAGGTGGAAGATACAGTGCAGTCTCAACTGAATGTATAAAGGAAGCCGAGTCCGAAGAGCAGATGCAAGCAGAAAACTTAGAAGTTGAAGAAAATTCAACCAACGACAAAGAAGGTTCACCTGTCATGAAAGAATCAGATGAAGGGAGACAGGATAAAGAGTCTGGAGATCTGGTAAATGTGCATGGTGAAGATAGAGAAACCGAAGAAAAAGATGAGTTTACTGATGACGTAAAATTCTATCATGACACGAGTCATAACGAAGTTGTGACAGAAGAAGAGCAGAAAACTAGCTTAAATAGCACTGAGGTAAATGAGGAGCTCGTAAATACATCGAATATCGGTCAGTCAATATAAGTCTAGAAAATAGTGAGATTGATGCTAGTAAAGAGACTGAAGAAGTGGAGAAGGTGCAGCTTGAAGAAATATCCTCCAACTTGGTACCCAAAGTCCCAACTAACAATGATGAAGTAGAGGTAAACAAGAGAGATGACGAGGAGTTTACACAGCACAAGATCGACTGCTGAAGCTGAGAATGGCCTAACTGTGCAAAAGGTGGATCAACTAAACCAGGATCATGAGCTCATAGGGACAAAGAGTGAACCCTCCAAGAAAAGCCTAACAGCAGAACTGGAAGCTGATAACGTTGATGAAACTGAAGGAGTACCAGAAACATCATCCGATTACATCTGAAAGAGTTGAAACTATTCTCGAAGATGATGATAGTTCAAATAATACTTTTCTAGAAGAGAAAGAGGAGGAGCATCTTCAAAGTTCTACCACACATTGCTTTGTGAGTATGAAGAGATCAGAACTGCACACCCAATTGAAAAGATTGAAGAAGAGATACAGAATGATGCAGGAATAGAAGACAAGAGTAGAGAGGATTCTTCTTACACAAAATTAGTAAAAGAGGCATGCTTGCTGAATGAAGAACAAAGAGAGCTTAAAACAGTCTCAGAAGAAGAAACTATTGCTGATGAGGACCTTCCAAATGATGAACCTGAAGCTGTGTTGGAAGGTGAAACAAATACTAGTCGGCTTATAGCAGAGGAATCAGAGGAGCATGGGGCAGTTACGGAAGAAATAAAAAAAGATCATTTGAAGATGAAAAAATCCCACAATCAGCGTGCACAAGGAGCTTCAAGGTGCCTTGGAAGTTGGAGCAACTTCGGTTCATATTCTCCCAGATGAGATGTCAGCAGATAACCTTCATGCTACAACCTCCACATTGCCTTCTGAGGTCAAAGAAAAAGAAACAACGGAAACAGAATTGAAAGAAGACGAGAGTCCCAAGAAGATTCTGGAACAAACAACAGAGAGATCGAGGAAACCTCGAATCTCAACAAGGACACATGTAAAACTTCTTTTGAATTACTCGGTAAAAAAGACGCTGCTGCAAATGAAAATATATTTATCATGGCAAGAGATGAGACAAGGGGTGAAGGAAATAAGTGCGAGAAAACAGAAGGAATTGAAATCACATCAAACGAAGATTCAAAAGAAGAGGTAAACAGAAGAGGTAAACAAAACCAGCTCAAACCTTTAATAGTTTCATGTATTTCCTATTTATTGTCTTGCAATTAAAGTTTAGTATCTTGAAAAATTTTAAATGAGGGGAAAATTAACAGGTTATGGAGGACAAGGAAGTTACTGAAACATGATTCAACTTCACATTCAGAAGAACCGATGAAAGATGGCTATGGAGAAGAGAGCTTAAGGAAAAATTGGTGGAAGACGAAACACATGAAGAGGTGCGGAAATAGAAACTAAACTTTTTTCATATTTATCTTCCTTGCTTATCAATATCTATATTGAAGCCTTGATCTATAACAGCTCAAGACCAGTGAAATAGAAAACCAGATCACAGATAAAATCATTGAGGATCCAGGCCAAGCTTCAGTTGCTGAGATTGAAGCCACATCAGTAACAGAAGAGGTTAAATCATACCAAATCCTCCTTTTAAACTTTTTATAACATTTTATTACAATGCAACTATAATAGTAGTTAAAGTGCACAATTGTCCTGTTGATTTCATGAATCTGTTCGAATGATGAAAGAGATTCCAGGTTTAGTATAAAACATGGTTTAACTGACTGAATGATCATATGATGTCAAATTATTAAAGAAGACTAAACAAATATATATATATATATATAAAAGTATACACCGTAATGGAAAAACAAAGTAGTAAATAATGTCTGACCTTGTCCAAATGTTTTTTTTTAATAAGAAAGGGAGGCCTCGTTAAAAACCCCCTTCATACTCGTCAAGAACCGTGGGGTATCTTGACGGCCATTGGAAGGAGGAAAAGAGTGCCTCATAATTGTATTTCTGCCGAACAAGCCATTACATTATAACCAGTACATAAAATACAAAACCAGCAGAACAGAATAATCTATAGGAACCTAAAACCAGAAATTCACCCAATTCCTATCTTAGCTAATTCATCGGCTTTACAATTCACAATTCTACTAACATGTTTTACAACAACACTTCTATCTTCTACCAGTGCACTAATTTCCTTGACTAGTGAGCTGAAAATCATAGGTGAAGAACTCGGCCACTTGATTCAATCCACCATCGGCTTTACAATTCACAATTCTACTAACATGTTTTACAACAACACTTCTATCTTCTACCAGTGCACTAATTTCCTTGACTAGTGAGCTGAAAATCATAGGTGAAGAACTCGGCCACTTGATTCAATCCACAACTTTACTACTATCTCTCCACGATTAATCTGCCCTCGAGCTCCAACTAGACTTGAAGAAGAATAAAATCTTGCTTTAATAGTCAACAACTCGGCTAGAATTGGAGGGCCTCCCCCAACACTCTCAGAGAAAGAACCCAACACAACCCCGTTTCATCCCTCAAAATACCACCTATTCCCCCTTTACACCAAGATTTCTCCACAGCTCCATCAACATTAAACTTGAAAACCTTTTGGAGGAGATTCCAAGAGAGCGAAGAATCACCAGATTTAACAGTAAACACACAGGAATCAGCTAAAACCGGATTCCCCACAAGACAAAACATAATAGGGATATCAGGAAATTTTGCAACAAACCAAGAAACCAGTCTATACCGCTAAGAAATGCAACAAAGCAGTGTCCATCTTCCTAGCATCAAATATAATCTCATTCCTGAACTTCCAGACTGACCAAATAATAGCTCCTGGAATAAACACCAATATTTCGAATGAGGGAACATCATTCCCCACCCTGCAAGAAGATCGTATGGACTTTCTGGAACAACAAAAGAAACGTCCCAATTCAGTAGAAAGTAAGACCATAACTGCCAAACTATCGGGCAAACAATAAATAGATGTGAAACTGTTTCTGCAGCCATACCACACAGGGGGACATATATTATCCACAATCCCATTAACTCCACGTTTCAAAAGCTCAACTTTAACCCCAACCTTCATTCTCAGAACCTGCCATAAAAAAACTTCACCCGAGGAGGAGCCATCCCAAGCCAAACAAGTTTTGCCAGTCCATATCCATCTTCTCTTTCTCATTCATTAATCTTAAACAAGATCTAATCGAAAACCCCCCTCCTCATTCCCTTTCCAGACAGAGGTGTCTTCCAACGAATCATCAACCACAGAACTGCATAAAATATAGTTTAAATCGAGCCAAAGCTGTAACTACCAATCCGCAAGATTTCTCCTCACTTGAATGTCCCAAATCCATCCTGCTTGACTTTGCTTCCTGTACTCCGAGATTGTTCCCCATTTGTTAACCGCAAGAGCATACAACCTTGGAAATCTTTCTTTTAAAGACACACTCCCCTCCCACACATCATGCCAGAAAAGAATAGCCTCCCCACTACCAACCTTGTAACTGAAATGCTTTATGAAACTATCCCCAAAATCATCATTGGCCAAACAACTATTAATCACTCCTTTCCATACCCAAGAAGCTTTCTGAAATCCCTTCTGTCGATAGAAAGATCTCTCGGATCCACATCATTCTTACAACATACTACCCTTTTCCACCAGGAGCTAGATTCAGTCGCAAAACGCCAACACCATTTACCCAAGAGAGCTCTGTTCACGAGGTTCAAATCCATAATCCCTAGCCCTCCTAACTCCTTAGGCTTACATACAAACTGCCAATTTACCCAATGGATTCTTCTCCTTCCATTCAAATCACCCCATAAAAAATTTTCCATTATTGAATTCAACCTCGATAGGACAGTAGATGGCAACTTGAAAACTGACAAGTAATAAATTGGTAAGGAACATAAAACCGATTTGATTAACACCACCCTCCCTGCAATAGAAAGAGAAGCTTCTTTCCATCCCGACAGTTTCTTATAGAACCTCTGAATCACTGGTTCCCACAACGACATCGAACTTTTCCTCGCTCCAAGCGGAAGCCCTAAATAATCTAAAGGAAAAACTCCCACTGAACATCCGATCGACCCAACCCACTCTTTTAACTCCAACTCATCCACATTTATGCCAAAAATTCTGGTTTTATGCAAATTCAACTGCACCCAGACATCAATTCAAACAAAAATATTACCCTATACACAATTTTTAATTCGCCGCCCTCTGCACTACAAAAAATAATAAGATCATCAGCAAACTGCAAATGCGACAACATAAAGGCATTATTACCTTCACCAATCTAGAAACCCCTGAATAGACCAACATTAACGCCTTTGACAGAAAAAGATCACAACTCCCCTACCAAATTGAATAGCGATGGATAATGAGCAACCTTGTCGAAGACCACGAGCAATCGAGAACTCCTCCGAAGGAGAGCCATTCACTAACACATACATAGATGCCGAAGAAATACAAGCTCTTATCCAGGAACACCACCTCTTACCGAAACCCATAAATTCCTTTGTCTTCAACAAAACTTTCAATTTACCGATCATAGGCTTTTTGATATCCACTTTAAGTCCAATACCTTTCAGACCTTTCTTCCTCCAATAGTCTATTCCTTCGTTTGCGATCAACGAACAATCCAAAATTTGCCTTCCTGGAATAAATGAAAACTGAGATAGACTAATGAGCGAATCGATGCACTCCCTTAACCTTATTGACATCACCTTAGACAATATCTTATAAAGCCTGCCTACCAAACTAATAGGCCTATAATCTTCTACTCCAACTGCACCCCCAATTGAGAAGATAGAAGAGATACAGGATGATGCTGGAATAAAGCACAAGATTGGAGAAGATTCTTTAGACACAAAGACAACACAAGAGGTACTGCATCAGGAGGATGAAGCTCTTGTAGAAGAGAACATTGACAATGCTTCTGCTCTAAATATCCTGTCAGAGAAGCCCGAGGAGCAAATTCAAAATCCTGCTGTAATATTACTGTTCGAGGAGCATAAGCACAAAACAATCAATGAAGTTGACAAAACTGAAGAAATGAAAAATGGAGACTCCCATGGAAAAGAGGTTGTAGAAGAGAAAATCACAGAAAAGAATGAGACAAGGGAGCCTGAAGAAATGTTGGAAGGGGAAACAAATACTTGTCAGGTTATACCTGAGGAATCGAAGGAGCACAGAACTGTTACAGAAGAAAAGAAAATAAAAAAAGCAGAATCATTTGAAGATGAGAAAAGCACACAATCAGACTGCACAAGAGAGCTTCAAGGTGCCTTGGAAGATGGAGCAGCGGCGGTTCATATTCTCCCAGGTGAGAGCTCAGCAGTTAATCTACATACTGCCTCTACATTGCCTTCTGAGGTCAAGGGAAATGAAACAGAGGAAACAAAACTGAAAGAAGATGAGAGTCTGGAGAAGATTCAAGAACAAACAAGAGAGATCGAAGAAGTCTCAGATTTCAACAAGGATACATGTGGAAGGGCTTCTGACAATGAATTACTCACTGAAACAGAGGATGCTGCAAACGAAAAGAAAATTCTCATAATCGCAGTGATCGAAGTTTTGAAAGAAGAGGTAAACAAAACCATCAAAACCTTAATAACTTCATGTATTTCCTTGCAATTAAAATCTATTATCTTGAAAACTATTAAATAAGGGGGCCAAACTAACAGGTCATGGAGGACAAGAAAGTTATTGAAACATCTTATTCAACTTCCTATTTGGAAGAGATGATCGAAGATGGCTCCGGGGAAGATGAGCTAAAGGATAAGCTGATTCAAGAAAACAAGGTCAGGAAATGAAAACTAAACTTTGTTCATCTTACATGTTCTTATATTTCAATATTTGTATTGAAGCTCTGATTTGTAACAGCTCATTGTGGAAGCTCAGAAGACCAGTGAAAATGAGATAATTGAAAACCAAATCAAACATGGTCATGCTTCTATTTCCAGGATTGAAACTATAGCAGTAACAGAAAAGGTCAGACTTCTTTGCACCCTAATGTCAAACTTAGTATAATGTTTTTTTTTTTTTGATAGAAGATGAGGCCTCATAAAAACCTCCTTTTACCCTCCATGTTATGAAAGTAACATGAAGGGTAATGAAAGGAGGAAAAGAGAACCTATAATTTTATTAAACAGAAGAAAAGTACATTACCCACTTTACAACAAAATAAACCTTCCCAGAAAGCATAAGACTTAAAAACCACTATCAGGAAAGCGTAGACACAAATTACATAATACTGAGAACAAAACCTGCAGAAACAAAATGAAACATCCACTCCAACTCCTCAAATACAAAGGCAGCTAATCAACCAATTCCATCTTTAGCTAGACTGTCCGCTTCCCAATAAGCATAAGACTTAAAAACCACTATCAGTGGAAAGCGTAGACACAAATTACATAATACTGAGAACAAAACCTGCAGAAACAAAATGAAACATCCACTCCAACTCCTCAAATACAAAGGCAGCTAATCAACCAATTCCATCTTTAGCTAGACTGTCCGCTTCCCAATTGGCAGCCCTCAAGATTAGCCTTAACTAATATCCATCCCTTCCATAATAGAGACAATCTCCTTCACCAATGATTGGAATAAAGGGGTGCTTAATTCCGGATTTTTAATCCACTTCAGAGTTAGTAGAGTCGATTCTAAGATAATCCTCTGATTAAGAACCTCACCTGAATCAATAACCAAACACAACCCTCTCTTAATCGCCAAAAGTTCTGCCAGAATCGGAGGTCCACCCCCAACCTTTTCAAAACCAATGAATCAACCTACCACTGCTGTCCCTAATCAGACCTCCTATACCTCCTTTGTTCCACCCCTTCACCATCGCTCCATCAACATTAATCTTAATAAAACCAACTGGAGGAGGAACCCAGCAAGACGATTTGGATCTTGCTTTGTGACTAACCATCAAATCAGCAAGTGTTAAATCACCCACAAGGGAGTCGAAAGGAATCAACATATCAAAACTAGCAAACCAAGAAAATATTCTAAAACGAGCAATAAGAACAACAACACCCCATCTAGCTTCCCATTCTTAAAAATAACTCGTTCCTGATTTCCACACCGTCCACAAGACTGCCCTGGAATGACTTTCCAAATACTAGAGTTCGGAAGAAGCTCATCCCACTGAGTGATACAATCTAGGGATTCTAGGAATCACCCAAGCAACATCCCACATATTCAAAATCTGGCCCACAGTCCCCAAGCAACCTCACAAAGCAGAAAAAGATGAGAAACGGTTTCCCCAAATCTGCAACAGCCTAGTGGAATTTCATGAATCTGTTCGAATGAAGAAAGGGATTCCAGGTTTAGCATGGTTAACTAATTGAAAAACCTCATGAAATCATATCACTAAACGAAGACAAAAGCCAAAACTTTATATGCAATATATATATACCTTAATGGAAAACAAAGTTGTATATAATGTCTAACCTAGTTCAGATGTTCAAACCGCCATTCAATTGTTTCTTTTCGTTTAAGTAGTAGCAGGTTTCTCAAGCCATCGACTGATGTATTAATTTTAAACAGAATGTTGAGCTGGCACCACCAGGTTTCGAAGAAAGGCCCGAATATGACTTGGAATCTGTGGCGAACACACATGTCATTGAGGAAGAAAGTAGCACAAATGAACTTCATCAGTATCAGAAGGAGATGAAAGAACTAATGAGGTTATTAGTGATTCAAAATGAATAATTATATTCAACAACTCATTTTTTATGTCAAATTCTCAAACATTTTAACTATGTATTCACAGGCTGAAGACTACAGTGCAGTCTCAATTGAACGTATTGTGGCAGCTGAGTCTGGAGAACAGATACAAGCAGGAAACTCGGAGGATGAAAAAAAATTCAACCACAACAAAGAAGGATCACACATTATGAAAGAATTAGATGAAAGGAGACGGATGAAGAGTCCAGAGACCCTGTAAATGTGCACGGTGAAAATAGAAGCAGAAGAAAGAGCTGAGACAAGATTAAATGGCACAGAGGTGAACGAGGAGCTCGTAAACACATTGAATATCGACTCATTCAAGATGAGCTTAGAAACCATTGAGAGTGATACAAATCAAGAGACTGAAGAAGTAAAGAAGGTGCAGCTTGAAGTATCCTCTGACTTGGCACCTGAAGTCCCAACTAACAACAATGATGAAGCAGAGGTAATCAAGAGAGATCCGGATGTTTTACATGTCCAAAAATCAGAATGCTGAAGCTAATAATGGAACAAAAGCAGAACTGGAAGCTGATAAAGTTGAAATTGAAGGAGTACCTGAACCGTTGTCTGATAATGTAGCCCCCAGAGTTGAAACTATTCCCAAAGATGATAGTACTTCAACTCATACTTTTCAGGAAGAGAAACCAGAGGAGCTACTTCAGGGATCTCCTACACATTGCTTTCCTTTCCAAATGAAGAACAAAGAGACTTAAAGCAGTTTCAGAAGAAGAAACTGTTGCTGACAAGGTTCTTCCAAATGATGAACCAGAGCAAATTCCAGCTACATCTTCGACATGCCTTCTGCAGAAAGGGAGCATCGAACTGGAGCCATAAGTGAGGAGATAGAATATGCAAAAACAAAGGAAGAGTAACATCTAGAGTTACGGAGCTGAAATAACTGATAAGCAGACTCACGAGACTAATAAACAGGAGGAGATTACGAGCTCTCCATTGGTCTCCCTGGAGAAGGAAGCAGATGTAAGCTCGGTTGAGCAGATAGAAGAAGAGAAATTAAGTGATGCGAAAATTCCAGAGAAGATTTCAGAAAATCCTTTTGATGAAAAGAAAGCAGCAGAGACATGTTTGGAAATGAAGCAATAAGGAGCTTGATGATGCTAAGAGAGACGCTCAAGCTCTCCAAATGGAGGAATCAAATGAACAATCTTTTACTTCAGAATTGCCTGTTGAGAACCTAAAGCATAGAACTGAGGCCAATGATGAAGAGGTGAAGGAAGAGGAAATTCTTGGAAAGGAAGGACGTCAGGAACATGAAGCTGTCATCAATCAGAAACCGTTGTTGCTCGGGCTTCAATAACTGAAGAATCACAAAAAATTGAACCAATAAGGATTGTTGAGAAGCTAGGTGAAGAAAAAAGGAAAGAAGCAGTAAAGGTTGAAGAAGAGAGTTGTGAAGACTCGTCAGTTGGAGAAACAAAAGAGTTAAATGAGTTTCATTTACTTACAAAACAAGAAACTTCTTCTTGTCTAGCTTTCTCAGAAGAGCAACTTCATTTTTTCACCCTCTTCTATAACTAGTGAAGAATCGCAGCATGAAACGAAGAGAAAGAAGATGAGAAAACAAGCGAAGGGGAAATCATAAAGTATGAGATAGAAGAAGATACTTCAGATGCAAAGACAACAGTAGAGATATGCTCACAGAAGGGCAGCCATGTTGAGGTAGAATCTGTTGTAGAAGATGAAATGACAGCTGACAAAGCTGAGAAGATGGAAAGCAAGAAAATAGAGGAAGCAGAATTCTTACAAGATGATAGCGGAGAAGATGCAGCCTTGCAAAAGAAACTGCTTCAGGAGGAAGAAGCTCTTGTGGTAGAAAATAAGCTTCTTCACAGACTATCCCAAAACAGAAGCTGAGGAGCAAATACCATATCTGGTTGTCACGTTGCCATCAGAGGAGCATAAGCAAGAAACCATCAATGAAGTTGACAAGATTGAAGAAGATAAAATAAAGGAAGAAGGAATGAAAAATGGAGACTCTGATGGAGTAAAGACAGTAGAAGAGCTAAGCACGGAAAAAGATCAGACAAAGGATGCCGTAGCAGTGTTGGATGAAGATGAGAGTCTCAAGAAGATTCGAGAACAAACAGAAGAGATTGAAGAATCCTCTGATATCAACTTGGAGATACATGAAAAGGCTCTCAACAGGAATTGATCGATGAAACAGAAGATGCTGCAATCAGAGAGAATCTTGTCAAAGCAATTGATGGATCAGGAGGAGAAGCACATCAGTATGATAAAATAAATGAAGGAAATGAAATCATACAGAATGAAGTTTCAAACGAAGAGGTAAGCAATACTACCTCAAAACCTTAATAACTGCATGTATTTCGTATTCATTCTCCTTTGTATTGTCTTAACTGTTAACTGAGCCGGCAAAATCGACAGATCGCATCTCATTCAACTTATCAACCGGAAGAGCCAACCAAAGATGGAGAAGATGCACTTAAGGATGAACTTATTGAAGAAAAAACATATGAAGAGGTCAGGAAACAGAAACTAAACTTTGTCGTATTTGTTCTTGTTTTTCTATATCTGTATTAAAGCTGTCAATAACAGCTAAATGTGAAAGCTCAAAAGACGAGTGAAAACAAGGTAACTGAAAAGCAGATGGAAGATGAAGTTGTTAAGAATCCAGGACAAGATTCAGTTCGCAGGGCTGAAACCGCAACAGTAACAGAAGATCACATTGAGAACACGGGGATAACAAGTTCAGTTTTCGAGGAACGTGTTCTGATAGATTTGCAGGAAAGAATTGTGGAATGCTCGCAAAAGGCTGAAGTCAGAGATGTCAAAGAGACTTATCCGGAAGTAGTTGAACATGTTGCAGAAAAAACAGTAAACAAATCTGTGGAAGATTCAACCACAGTATCCTCATCTGATGATGTTGAAAGATTCAAGGAGACAGAAGACGAGAAAAAGAGCAAAGTGGAAATCATAAAAGACGAGACTGAAGATGCATCAGATACAAGGACAACAGTAGAGATATGCTCACAAATAGACACCTCTGTCAAGCTAGAAGCTGCCACAGAAGATGAAATGACTTCTGGTCAGACTCTCGCCACAAAGATATCAGAAGGACAAATGCAGAATCCAACCTCTGCACCGCATCCAAAGGAAGAGCAATGCGTAAGAGCAAGTATAGCTGAGGAGAACGAAAGTAAGAAAATGGAGGAAGTGGAATTCTTACAAAATGATAATGAAGAAGATGTGACCTTACAAAAGGAACAGCTACAGGGAGATGAAGCTCTTGCAGTAGAAAATAACGCTTCTTTACAGACTATCCCAACAGAGAAATCCGAGGAGCAAATTCCAAATCCTGTAGTCACATTGTCATCAGAGGAGCATAAGCACGAAACTGTTAATGAAGTTGACAAACCTGAAGAAGAGAGATGATGGAGAAAGAGAGTAGAAGAGTTAAGCACAGAAAACGATGAGACAAAAAGGGCTCCAGCCGTGTCAGAAGGTGAAGTTAATCACCTTCATATTACAACCTCTGCATTGCCTTCTGATGTCCAAGGGGGTGAAACAAATAAAACAGAATCAAACGAAAATGAGAGTCCCAAGAAACTTCCAGAACAAACAGGTGAGACTGAGAAAGCCTTGAATTTTAACGCAGAGATACATGAAAAGGCTTCTGACAATGAAACAGAAGATGCTGCAATAAAAAAGAATATTGTCAAAGCAATTGATGCACAAGGAGCTGAGGAAAATCTGAAAACAAATGAAGGAAATGAGATCATACTGAATGAAGTTTCAAAAGGAGAGGTAAGCAATACTAGCTCGAAACCTTAATAATTACATGCATCTCCCATTCATACTCCTGTTTTATTACCGTCTTTGATAACTGCTAACTAATTGGGAAAAATCGACAGATCATATCTTATTTGACTTCCCATTCAGAAGAGCTAACAAAAGTTTCCTCGCACGAAGATGCAGTTAAGGATGAACAAATTGAAGACAAGACATATGAAGAGGTCAGAAAACTGAAACTAAACTTTGTTCATCTTTTTGTTCTTGTTCTTCAATTATATTGAAGCTTTGATTCGTAACAGGTCATTGTGGAAGCTCAAAAGACAAGTGAAAATGATATGAACGAAAACCAAATTAAAGGTGGGGCTGTTGAGGAACAAGACCAAGCTTCAGTTGTTAGGATTGAAACCACAACAGTATGAACCCCCCTTCAAACTTTGTCTAATATTTTATGCGAACGAACCTGTAATAGGGAAATAAATCAGTTTGGTTTGATTTCATAAATCTGAACAGATCTTTGTTTCGCCTTTTATCAGGAATCAAGCACAGAATTAATGATGACGGAAGGCAAGCAAATACTCAAATACATTCAACAGACCGGGAAAACAACTAAAACAGCATCTGATATGCCAATTCCAAGGGAATTAGATCCCACTGAGAACCCAGGGATAACAAGTTTGGCTGAAAAGGAGCATGTTCCAGTAGATTTGCAGGATGGAGTTGCAGGGTCCTCGCAAAAGGCTGAAGTCAGAGATGTCAAAGAGAACTATCCAGTAGGACTTGAATGCAGTGGAGATATAGCAGCAGACTGTTCAGGCGAAGAAGTGACTCAAGACATGATTGGGGGAGATACAAAAGATGAAACTAATGCTTCCCGACTTCTTCAAGCAGAAAAACCAGAGAAGCAATCTCCAGCTCCAGTAGAAGAAGAAAGGCTGAAGGAAGCGGAAACCCGAGATAAAAGTACTTCTGACCCAAAGACCGGAGGTGAGATATGCTTGGAAAAGGAAGAAAACAAGGAGCCAAAGACCGTTGTGGTGCAAGAAACTATAGTTATTCAGGCTCCACAAACAAAGGTTAGATAGTACTAATTTAAACCTAATAATTAACGTAACAATTTTACTTGTTCCCTTTCTTCATTTTGGTTTGCTTCAATAATATATTTATGAACTCAACAACTGCTAACGCTCGGAGCAAACATGACAGTTTAAGGAGGACCCAGTTTCTCATTTTGAAGATAGCAGCCAAGAAGATGAACATGCTGGAGATAAGACAAATGAAACCTTTAAAAACGCAACATATGAAATCCAAAATAAGGTTAGTTCCAGAAACACTCCTCTGTAATCCTCTTGTTCTATTGCCTCTATCTTTAATATTGAATCATAAATTTTCAAACAGCCCTCTGCGGAAACTCAAAAGGACGGTGCAAATGACAACATCAGGAAAGAGACAGTTGCTGAAGACAAAACTGTGAAGGGTGACATGAAAGAAGCCCCAGTAGTAAGCGAAGGGGTAAGAATACAATTTAGTACTAAAAATGAGATCACGTTATGAGTATAAGGCTTTAAAAATAAGTCTTTATCACCTGGTCCCTTGATCTTTTTCAAGGTCCATTAATGGAGTCTAAACATAAGTCATTACGTAACATACTATGTCTAGCTTGGATATATCACTAATGTAACATTTGACAAACAGATTCCAGGAAAGGAAGACCCCATTGAGTTCAAAAAGACAACAAATTCAACGGGCAAGCAACAGTTTCTGACAGAACAGCAGGATGAAGCTTTTGGAACCGCGGACAAAGCTGTAGTTGGAGATTTGGAACCTGGAACTGCTCAAGAGATTTGTTCAGAATCAGAAGATTCTGCTAAGCTGTCATTATATGACCTACTCCAAAGATCCACAAGAGAAACAATACAAGGGACTAAAAATGGGATTGAAGAAAGGGAACTAAAGGTAAGCAATGAAGAGCCACATGAGGAAGAAGCAAAAACAGATGAAGAAGATGAGGGCGGTGAAAACAGTAAGATGGAGTCTGGCATTAAACAACATAAGAAATCTCATAACATACTATCAGGGGTTGGATCAAAAGTGAAGCATTCAATTTCCAAGATGAAGAAAGCAATCACTGGTAAATCATCTCATTCAAAAGAATCGAAGCCAATATCACCAAAGGAAAGCAAGAAATGAAGGCGTAATGATGTCAGTCAAAAAATATTCACATATTCTTAGGTGATTTTTCGATGTAAAGTTTGTTTAAGTCAAATGTTTTATGGTCACGGTATTGTTTGTTAAGATTGGTGCGTTTTTGCTGCGAATTGGGAAATTTCAGTTTTCTTTTTGATAAAAATACTTGGATAATTTCATGGTTGTCAAATGAGTATTACAAAGTTGTGGTATCTGAGCTAGATATAATCACATATATACAGATTTGTTTGTTCATCAACGACTTCTAAAGACATTAAAGTTCCAAATCCAAACTTCAAATTACAAGCTCGTACATCTAAAATCAAGTAAACCTGTAAGGAGCAATTTTAGTTTGTCTTCAACTATGATATTCAAACTCACGTGTGAATGTCCACCAATACAGATGTGTCAAACAATGGTATGATCGAAGTTTAATATGTTCTTCCATGTATTTGAGTCCGATCTAGCTCCACTTTGGAATAATTTGTGCCCAATGCGATACAGGATACTGGGGTCTTGGGAGGGAAAAACATTGGAATGTGAAAACATGAAATTTGTGATTGAAGATAAACACCCTACAAGCACACTTCAAAGAGAAACATTTAAACCAAGAGATTATATAAGTTGGCTAATTAAACTGAACATTCCCGCAACACAGAGAATACAGCCCTGAAATTGAACCATACTTCACTAGAATTTAATAAGCAAATAACATCCTTTAGTTTGCTTGCAATTGCCTATGAAAATTGCAAAAAATAAAAAAAAATAAAAAAAATAAAAATCTTATAGAAAGCAAATTCCCTATAACGAGAATTGGGATTCATTGACCTGAAAAGGAACTCCAAATGTATTTTATTATACTCTTAAACTCACCATTTGATCTTTAAACATCTAAAATCAAGCTTTGTTGTATAAAAAGATATTCAAAGAGAAATGAATCAATTGGAATTAATTAAACACGCTAACAAAAATATTACCCATTCCAAGCACCTTCAAAAGAAATTACACATCAAACTTTATAAGTTTCAGTAGCATTTAGAAATAACCAAAATTGTTAACAATAAAAATACAAAATTCAAAACCTGCCCAAAGAAAAACATAACAAACTTAAGATTAAAGAACCCGTCAAGTCCAACGAAAACCCACCACTTAAAACCTCCTTCCGGGTCCACCTCGACCAAACCCAACTTGAGGAACTAAAGCAACTGGGTCAACCTTAACAAGTCCAGGAATATCAGCCATCCCAAGAAAGCATCCAGAGTTTCCTTAACTTCTATTTGATCAACCTTAATTGCCGATTCATCAGGAACGAAATCCATGCGTCGCTCGCGCTCTTCTTGTAGCTTCAGCGAAATGCCGCGAACCGGACCCTTCTGGATCCGTTTCATTAAATGGGTCGAGAACCCGGCGATCTTGTTTCGGAGCCTCTTCGATGGATTATAGCTACTTCTTCGATAATCTTTTTGTTGGTGTGGAAATCGAGGGTCATGCGAGAGTAATACCGCTCGATAACCTGACGAGACGATTTCTTCACCGTTTTCGTACGGACGCGTCCCATCGTCTGGATCGGAGGAGGGAGGCGGGCCACTAAAGTTTCTGATGTGAGGAAACGTAGAAAGTGAAAGTTAGTCGAAATTAGGGGTTTTATATATGAAAACGGAAAATTTGGGTTGGATATCAGGTTTTACCGCTTCTTTTTAGGTCTAGTCGAGCCCAATTGAAAAATATTGTCCTTTCGCAATAATATCACTTCATAATTAAATTTTAAACTTTTTTGCAAGCACAATTTCAATTTCAATTTGATTGAACTTGCAAAACACTCGAACCATCCAGATTTTGTTTCGAACCAGATTCAGATTTTGTTTGGAGCCAAAGCTCGACTTCCCAGTACAAAAAGCACTCTTACTCTATGTTTGAATTAGGGTTAGGGAAAAGAAAATAATAAAAGGAAAACAATTTTCCTATAGCGATTTTTCCTCATCACAATAGGCTCCAACATTTTGGTTCTCTGACAGCTTCATAACAAGGAAATATGGACCTAGTTTGTTTGTTTTTTAATCATCTCAAACCATAAACGAAATTTTTTCCAAATACAACAATATCAGGCAATGTTCAACTTCGAATCACTAATAACTTTAAATAGCTTTGTAATCAAGCAATATTACAGGTTGAAAAATACTCTAAGAAAGTTGAGCTTTTTTATGCTTCTTCTCTGATTCTGTGCTGCTTCAATATTCCTCTTCCGTCCTTGAGTTCTCAACATGATCCTCTTCCGTTGCTGCCAATCTGTCAAAGAGAAATACGATCAAGTCAAAACAAAGATGACATTCTGATTAATGATGCACAAAGATCATCTTTAACCTATTTACCCGACTCTCAGTTTGTCTTAAAGTATGCATTCGACAATCTCAAACAAGTTGGTCCAAATAACATGAACTTTAACAATCATCCCATCCCAACCCCTTCCTTATTTTTTCCTCCAAATTAGAGAAGTGTTAAACTGTTGTTTACTGGGGACTACTATTGATGAAACCAATATCAAATAAATCTCTGCTGGCCCCGACTTTCAAATCAAAAGGTAAACCATACTAAAACTATGATAAGAGTCAAAGTCAGTTGTTAGTGAGTTGCGACAAAAAAGCTATTATAAAGTCCAATGAAGTTACCTCAATGGCTTTAGCAAGCCCCCTCTTTCTACGTGACATCAAGAGTTTTGATGGATCCTCGGCAATTGGTTCTTCTACATCAGGAAGCGATTGTTCCTTAGACTCGGTGTTTGCTTACTTATACTTGAAACACATTGAAGTTCCATTTCAATTCATCATGATACTGCTTCTCTAGAAGCATCATCTGCATCCAATGAAAAACTTACAGTAAACAGCGGCAAACATGAACTTCATAGGAATTTCTCATGTAAACAATAAAATTTTAAATCTCTATTGTGTATCAGGCTTCCCATTACTCCACTGCATACCTGTCGCTTCTTTTCAGAAGCTTCCATAGCCTCTGTTCTATTGATAAATCCTTCTGCCAACATATTTTGAGAGCTATCCAAGTCATCATTTCCCGTACCAGGCAAAGGTTTAACATCACTTTTCACAGCAGCCTGAAGTTGTTTAATGGCCTTGGCATAATCAGGAACATAACCTTCAGCCTCATCATCAACAAAAGGCGAAAGATGTGGAGGGGATCCCTATTTGCAGGAAGACAGCTATATCAAATACATTGACATATCAAGACAATATTCTAACTTCAATCGCAATTAAATGATTGTAATGACCAAATGGGGTATGCACACTATGAATTATATCAAATGAAGAAGCCAAATTAGAAAATGAGAGCAGGTCATTCGTTGAATCATTACAAAAGCAAAGAAGTATAACACTCGGTAATGAAACAGATATTTCATGAGTTTGTTCCCAAAATTTACCTCCCAACCATATATGGTTCAGTTGGCAAGATGACCAGTGCATTTACACAGTCAAAAACCCATTGTGGCTGAACATATTCTCTTGAAAGGTATACATGCCCTTGTGTTGGTCTGTCCACAATCTACACAAACAAAAGCAACAAGTAAAAATTGAAATCTCCAAAGCCATATGTACAAATCTCACATATGGTCTGTTATTAGCACACCTGATGAGTAATGCTATCATCATTTTCAGAAAACGGGGCTCCATCCTTCCCAAGAAACAATACCTCCAAAAGCAGGAATGACGAAAAGCAAGGACTCTCTCGGAACCTAAACATAGAGACATTAGGAACTATTCCAACAAATGAACTAACATAAAGAAATGGAATCCACACATTGTACTTCTATTCTCATGTTTATCAAATTGGTAAACAAAATGGAAGCAAATCTTGTAACTGATATAAAGTTTTAGCAAGGAAGAATTAAACAAACCTCGCGACTCAAGAAAAACTTATTGTTTCGAAAAGAATTTTACAGTCCCTGGTAGCTTCATCTTCTTCAATTTCACTGGATGCTCTTGCACAAGGTGCATTAGTGCACCAGGTTCATTGGCAGGCAGTTGACGCTGAAGTTGTGCAAGTCTTAAGCTAGACTCCTCCTGCTCTTGCTCCGATCTAGATGAACCAGCAGCTTGAGGTTCTTGAACAGAAGCTCTGTAGTTAGCATCAAAATACCTTGATAATGCATAGAGATCTGCAGTATTCAGAAACAGAACACACTATTTTTTTTTTGATAAAAAAGGCCTCATTAAAAACCCCCTTCATACCCTACATGTTTTAATAAACATAACATGAAGGGCATAGGAAGAAGGAAAAGAGTGCCTCTAGCTTTTATTATGAGAACCATAATACACCTCCACACCTACATGACTAACTACTAACAACATAACCTTTAAGCCACAACTGTGGATACATAACGCACCCTAATAACTCTCTTAAAAAACAGTCAAGATATAACACCTCTAACCACAATAGAAACCCAAAAATCAACCTATACCAGCTTTTGCTAATTCATCCGCTTCCCAATTTGCAGCTCTCGGAATATGCCTTGTAATAATACCCTTCATTTCCACACGAGTAGCTATATCCGTCACCAAGGATTTAAACAAAGGAGTACTAAGGTCCGGATTTTTAATCCACTTTAGAGCATTAGTCGAATCTGATTCCAAAATAATCCTCTGGCTTGGACTATAACCAACTTCCTCAGTAAGAATCAACCCTCTTTTGATCGCCAAAAGCTCTGCAAGTAAAGGAGGACCTCCCCCTACCTTCTCTGAAAACGACCCAAGCACCGAACCACTCCCATCCCTAATCAATCCACCAATTCCCCCTTTATCCCAACCTTTGACCATTGCACCATCAACATTTACTTTTAAAAAACCTTCTGGAGGAGGACTCCAACTAGAAGGAGGAGGAGTCCTCTTATTAAAATTACCATTACAATATGCTAATTTTAAGTCCCCCATCAAGGAATCGAAAGGAATATGGACATCTTAAATGAAGTTCCAAACCACGAAACAATTCTGAACCTTGTAATGAAGAACAACAATGCAAAATCAACCTTC